GAATATTAGAATGAAGCCCTTTGCATTTTTTTGTATTGCAGATCAGAAAAAGTATGCCATAATTGAATTGTATCCCTTTTGAAAACACAAACACAGTTTTGTTCTATACTGTTTTATTGAAGCCATATGTGCTGATTGGCTTACACCCGCCTCATTTCTGTCCCCGCCACATTGACCAGCCTCTGCTTATTGTGTAGGTCAACACAGTGTCCTGTGGGGTACACATCCAATCTCACTGCACCTGTACAGTTTCCTTATTGCTTTTTTTTTCCATAGTTCTCTTGATAAATTGCAGAAAAAAATAGATTGATATCCAAACAGCCAGAACACAGTCCCTCTATAAAGATGGGATATATCCATAAGTAGAGTCAAACCAGATGCTGCCTTCATAGATGCCTTGGTTTGTAGCATATGGGAAATGTTCCAATCCTGCACCGCACCACAGTACAAGGACTATACATAGGCAAAACAAGTCACTTAAACATGAACAAATCATTTTTATCTTATACACATATAGCTGGTGGACAGTTCAAAATGAAATGAGAAATATTATAAATAGGTCCAATGGAAACACAGTATATAAATTCATATTATGATTCCAACATTAATTTAAATCGAATTATATTACACACAGACAGATTTACAAAAATGTTTTTGAACATTTTGTTTGGCGGCTTTTAAACCAAATCAAATTGATATTTGCTATACAAATGTGTGCCCATGGAAAAAACATCATAAAATAATAATAGCAACATATAAAAATCCATTTATTGTGCACACGCATGTCACTCAAAGAATATTTTTGCCTGTGTCTTGAGTGGATTCATTACCACTATATTTTTTGTGTCTCACATGTGCCATTCCCTACCTACAGTACATATATATATACAATATATATATATATAATATATATATATATATATATATATATATATATATATATATATATATATATATATATATATTTTTAAATAATTGTGTTTGAAACAAATTGTTTTTATAGCAGCTAAAGAGGTCATTTGAGTTTAATGCAGACCTAAACATGGCCATTGCACGACACAACTCTAATCTTTTATTACTGAGGTGCATTGACATAAGGAACACCTGATTCTGGAGGACAATAATTACTGCCAGGGAGTAATCTGAGAAATTTGCCGCTATGACTAATTAGAGGAATTAAGTTAAGTTCGGCAGCTGCTACATCTAATCATAAATCACAGTAATTTTTTTAATTAGCTAGGTTAAGTATATTGCCCAGTAATATTCAGGTTAGATGGACAGTGCAAATCTAGAGGAGTAATGATATCAAAGACATTGTGCAAACCTAAAGCAAAGTCTGGGAAGCTTTTTATATGCAGGCAAACTCTGTCTTATAAGACAGGTTTCGATGAAGCTTATAATGAAGAAACAGGTCTCTTTGTGTAAATGCTTTCATATATTTTCATCAGAATGGCCAAGGGAAATGTTTACTACTTGAAATTCCCATGGTTAAATCATCAATCCATCCATTTTCTGCTGCTTTATTGCTGGTGTTCTGTCGGTTTGTACTGCTTATTGAGTTGTGCTGCCTCGTATGCAAACCTGCACATGCGTGTATCACGGGAGCCGAAGCAAAACCAGATATATGATGTATTGTGAACAAAGTTTAAATACAACCAAATAAAGACACCAATTCACTTTTAATGTATTCTGAGGCGAGATGTTGATGGTTCCATGTTGTGGTTTGTCGGTTTTAAGAGTGAAAGTTTTGTGTGAAGTTTGATAGTCAACTACAAGCCGCGGCGATCCAAGATGGTGCCCTATTCAAATGAATGGCTTGTGCTCAGTAGCGTATGTGCCACCATGGGGACAGAGAAATTAGCGAAACTCGGCCATATTTGGGCATCGTCTGGTCCTCCCGGTTCTGCGTACTGGACAAGCTCCCGTGATGCGTTGGTCAGTCTGGTTGATAATGGAAATGATTTTTTTTTAAAAAGCTATTAGCTGTCGAGTTAACGCATCCTATGGCAAACTCGACAACTAATGGCTTACAAACCAGATTTTATTATTTCCATTATCAACCTGACAGACCGGTTGTAAGCTAACAGCTGTCGAGTCAGCCATTGGACGCTTAATCCGTCTACATCTGTAAAATGACGTATGCGGCAGTTCAACTCGACAAGAGGACTGCTATCACACAGCAGCAGTGTGTTTTCTGCTAAAACCAAACTTTACACAAAACTATTACTCTTAAAATACACATATAACAACATGAAACCATCAACGACTTGCCTCAAATGGCATTAAAAGAGACATTTGTATCTTTATTAGTTCGTATTTAAACTTTTTACACAATTTGCGGAAACGCGCATGTGCAGGTTTGCATTATATCATAAACAGCTGAGGCAACACAACTCAACAAGCGATGTAATGCGACAGAATACCGCCACAGTATAGCTGAGTAGGTAGCCCTTGTGCAAGAAGATTGTGGGATTGATATCCCTCTGGTCCAGGCCTCTGTGTTAAGTTTGCATGCTTCTCCCCATGTCTTGGTGGGTTTCCTCCGGGTGCTCTGGCTCCCTCCCAACCCAATGTTCACCATAAATTTAAATCCTCAGGCTCCAGTAGCCATATACCACAGGCCCACTGCTCCTGACAGGGTGCATAATTACAGAAACCTGTGAGAAGCATGACGACAGGGATACATGGTCACTGTCCAATTCTGCAAGCAGGCTCATGATAGCCTGCCAGGGTCAAGGGATTACAGACATGTCTTGTTAAATTAGGCTGCTATAGCTGAGTGCTGTGACTGAGTTGGGGACTCAGCTGTCTGAACGAAACCTGTCGCACTGATGAGCTGCAGAGAAACACAGAGGACCATCTCACAGCTCTTTCAGCTTCAGGACTACAGCCATAGCTTCCTCGTATATTTCTGTCAACTGCAAGCAACAATGCAATTATAATCATCTAATCCAAACTATGTATTGAAACCAAGTGATTATGGGTAATTGAAACACAAAACGTGTAGGGCAGAAAGACTAAGACCAAATTAATGGATTGCTGTCATATAATCAGTCAGATTTACTAGTTCTGTCCTTTTTACTGGTGGACCATGGACCTGTGTCTTACACAAAGACACTTTGGTACAACAATTTGGCTATAACATCCAGGTATTATATTTGTAATATGACATAATGACCTCTTTAGTTACAGAATAATCCATACAATGGCACAAAGGCCAAAGGAAAGTACAGTGTAATGAACATAAATCCATTACAAATATACCTGCTGTTTTTACTGAAGACAAATACTTGGGTGTAATATCAGCACTTTGTGGACATTTCTGCTTGGATTGTGTATTTGCTCGGAATGAGTTTGGTATATTGTGGCCTTTTGATTGAATGTCAGACTGCTACATGATGCACAATTTGGAATTAATTACTTAAAAAGGCAAACTCCCTTGAGTTCACATCAGATACACTCTTTGATGTCTGACAGTTAATGTGATTCACATAACATCACTAGCACACACATGTTAACAGTTGGAGATAGTCAGGAAGAGGCATAACATATGCTTTCAACACATTTAAGCAGAATGCATTTGGAAGACAAAGTGAGCTTGTCATAGCGCAGGGTTGAGTCTTAAGCCCAAATAACTAAGTAGGGGGTAGCCTGCTAAACCTCCCTCTCTGCAAGTGAAATCAGATGACAAATGTGGCAGAAAAAACTCATTTAGCCAAAAAATATGCATTATTGTCCTGCCACATGTTAAATTGTGTGTTTCTCCCTCCTCCCGTCTCTTCTTCCTTCCTCATCTTAGTTTATAGGGAGGATAAATTACTACAATAAATGCATTTAAGGATCATCAATGTGTGACCACTGACACAAAACAGTATGTTAATATTATGTATGAATAATTATTAAATACATAAAAGACTTGCATAGTGCATAGTTTACTATAAAATATATTTATAGTGTAATCCAGGACTAAGGATCCTAAAACCTCTCCCGAGATAAATTTGGCATCAAAGTTGGAATAAAAATATCTTTTCACACCCTCCATATATCACATAATGCAACATAATCATTATTATAACCTCTATACAAAATAAAATAAATATATATTTATCAAGATCAAAGTCACTTAATAAAGCCTATTCTAAATCAAAGTTACAAAAATGAGAGATGACAGATGAACAAATTATTATACTCAGGAGGACTCCCAGAAGGAGGGCGTGAACAACTATCATAAATGGGAAGGGAGTTTAGAGTGCACAGTCTGAGGTTCTAGATCTGTCAGAAACGCAGCCGAGCCTCTTCGAGGAGGCACAGCTGGAGAAGCCCCTGGGGATAGAGGCTGGTGAGAGGGCCCAGGGAATGGGCCTTGAGAGGGAGGGGTGAGATGGCCGCTTATGGGCGACCCATACGGTTTAGCTACTAGAGTTGGGGATGAAAACGGAGAATGAAAATATCCAGTGTCTATAGATGAGCGAGTGGTTTGGTGGGCACAGTCTTGTGCCACCTCTTGGGGCAGTGATGGATGGGAGCTGGATAAAAATTTGAGTTCTTCTGAAAAACGGCCCAATGGAGACTCTCGGCCAGGCGTGTGTGGTTGGTAAGAATGCTGTGATGAAAAAGAGGACTGGGGCATGAGCAAAGAGCTGTGAGATCCCATGGTACTTGAGGGATCACTGTAGTGAAAGGTCCGGCCACTAACAGGACTCTGAATGGTTGGGCTGGGAGCTATAGGTGTAAGGCAGGGGGAAACATTTGCAGAACCATATTGTGCCAAGGAGGCCAAGGCAGATTTTTCCTGGGACATCTGGTGAGGCAAAAGTCCAGACTGGAGAGATGCCAGGTTAAAATGGCTTAGTGACGAAGGAGAACCATCAAGTTGTGGGCGGTTGTGTACTCCTCTGTTCGAAGATGGGGAGCCGTGAGGGGGAGAGTTAAACAAGTTTAAGCCACTGCTTGTTCTTTCTAGATTGACCAGCTGATGAAGAGGAGCCACTTTAGGGGGCTTAGGGAGGTGGCAGTGGGACAGGGGTCCACTCAGAGGATTGGGTGAGCCAGTCAAGACTGGGCTCTGACAACGAGAGGAAACGACTCCATGCGTAACTCCACTTGAGGTAACAGTGACAGTACAGGTCACTGAACTTCCACTTGTTCCTGGTATTTTTCCAGTTTGCCCTGTTCCGGCAATGTCACTGCCTACATGGGTGCTTACTAAACCACCAGTTCTTCCAAGTGACCCTACTGTTGATTCTTCAGAAACTATTCCTGCAGAGTTGCTTGCCGGGAATCCACCTGATGACCCCAAAGCTCCAATAGAAACCCTTCGTAATGATCCTCCGTTATTTGAGACTCGCGTTGCTTTAGATGACAAGCTCAGTGGTAGCTTGGCAAAGTCTCCTCCACATGTAAACCCTCCCTGTGACCCTAATGACCGGTCGGTTCGAGTGGTAACAGATTGTCCTGTCCCTTCAATAATTCCCATGGATTGTTCTGAGGTTTGAGTTAACCCAACCAAATCCTCTGCCGTCCAAGCAGCATCTTCACCAGCGGCCCCGTCGACTGACCCGCTAAGTGCTCCACCCGGAGTCCACCCTGTCATCCCCACACAGGACCCTGCTGCCCCACCGCTTATTCCTGACCCTGTGCTTCCATTTATAGATCCTTGATAAATAAGCTGAGATAAGGGGGGTGTGTTGGAGCAAAATGATTGTTGTCGCTGGGGCTGTGGATGCAACTGGGCTGTGCTAGACGAAGGGGAACCAAACATAGAAGATTGCCCAAAAGCAAAGGCAGACGCTCCACCTCCACTTGAGCTGGACCCAGATCCACTCGGGCCTCGATGACCCCCACTGCTTGATGCTGGGTGGTTGGAACTTGTCCCTCCTATACCTGACATCATGTGGTGTGCCCGAAAAGCAGCTAGCAATGGCATATCTATATCATTGCGCACTTTGGAAGGTGTAGTAGGAGAAGAGTCCACGTCTAATCCCACACCAGCAGAGGACGGTGCAAATGTGTTGAGCTTTTTGAGTATGTTGGGGGGATCCTTAAGAGATCCTAACATAGACACTTTGGGTCTGAATAGAGTTGGAGGAAGGTGGGGATGGTGTGTTAGGGCTATTGCTACAGAGGTGGTGGCAGCCGCAGCTTGAAGTGGTGCTTGGATGAGGGGAGCCCATATCACCGGAGTGGGTGATGGAGGAGACTGAGATGGGACGTTCTGGAATAGGTGGGCACAGTGAGCCATGTCCCTGTCGTGTTGTACAATCTGCTGGATAATCTCATTTTCCTGGTAGTTTAGAACACCAGAGCTGAGGTCATGCTGTACTTTGTGCTGCAAGATTGAATTTTTCTTGCCTAATACCAGAGACACAGAAAAGGGCAAAAGGACAGGACACGTCAGAAAACAGTAAATAGATATTATACGTACTCCATGCATATTTGATATTGTAGGTTATGCAAAAAAAAAAAACATTGTTAGTTGCTAGGTGATAAGCCTGAAAAATGAAAATAATAATGATGAAAAGACTCACTAAACTCAAATTAGTAGAGCATATACTGTACTGTACATAATAATAGAATAATAATGAATGTATGTTCTTACAAAAAATAAACATACCCCAAAGCGCACTTATTGCAAACAAAGATTTGATAACTCCACAAGTCAAATACTTTTTAATAAATACATTTTTAAACCAAATATTTTCTCCACATAATGCTTTCAGTACATCCAGTCGCATGTTGTAGTTATCCAGTGTTTTTAACCAAGATAATCACTACACAACTCATACAGTACACCCATGTATGTGTTTGTTTGTTGGTTGACTTACCAATGCGGTCGAGTCTGTCCAGGGCCACAGTCTCAAAGGCTCGTCTCATCATGGGGAACTCCTCCAACACCTCGTTAAAGTTGTCCACAGACAGGGAGTACAGACGACAGTATGTGTCTGCTCGCACACTCGCTGTACGCCTGCCTCGGGTCAGCAGACAGATCTCTGCAACAAGAAAGAAACAGGAAACAATGTGATAATGCAGAAATGAATTACAACTACCTATAAACCTAATCCTAACACACGCGCACACACAAATGCACACACACACACACACGCACACACAAATACACTCACACACAAATGCTGCTCGATAAATGTACTTGATATGTTCTATTACGTTGTAAAATCTATTGATAAGCCTTTAGCGTCTATTTTGTATTATGTTGCTCCAGTACTGCCGTTACCTTACCAACCAGTTTGATTGACAGGAAAGCCCGTCCTTCTGACTGGCTAAGAGACAATCACTTGGAATTCCAAATGTGGAGGCCTGTTACAAATTGTTCACCCATTAGTACTGAGCCAATCCTAGCCTCAAGTGAGTCTATGCTGCATCAGATCATCAAAAGCATCACTGGGTTTTAAACACCTCTTGTTTTAAAAGAATTGTGCAATGCACTAAGGTGTATGTTAAGGGGAGGTGAAGTGCTTTGACAGTCCTCACAGGCGAATGTACAGTAAGCATGTGCTTAACTCTACTCCACATGACAGATGCTTGTAAGTACAAGTATTTAGTATTCCCACTGCCTTTCTCCTGTCACTAAGCATATGTTCAGTTTCATGTGAGTTGAATGGAGCTATAAAAACAGCTGTGCTTTTTACAAGCCAGAGTAGGTTTTAAAACATTATTTAAACATTCAGCTGATTCAACACTAATTCAAAGTTTTCAGTACAGTAATGTCCCTAAAGATAGTCACTGGTGAGTTGTTCAAGTCTGTGCAATGAGTTATTTATGTAAATCATAAATGGTGAGTCTAAATGAAGCAGAGAAAAATGTGTGTGATTGTGCTGTCTACTAAATGATAAGATCAGTTCATAGATGGCAGGGGTTTGAAAGCGAGCAGCTTAAATGTACGAGATAATATGATGTGTGTACAGTGCAGGTGTTCAGAGCCTTGGCCCTGAATGAACGGCTGAGGTCCATTTCCCACAGCACTGTTCCAGTAATCTTCTCTGAAGAGAGCTCCACACACAATTCTGTATTAAATCCTCTTGTTTTGTGTTTCTCTGGTCCAGGCCAAGACTGCATTGAGCTTTGTGTCCCCACTGTTTTTTATAAAGTGCACTCAAACGATGGAATAACACAAGTGATTTGATTTAAGTGCATTCACTAAATTCATAGCCAAGCACTATTGTCTGTTGTCATAATGATGTGATTCCAATATAAGGGTCACTGAATACAGGTCAATTATTTGGCACTTGGCAGACGTGATTTTTTTGTACTATACATTTAACTGAATCAGTTAATATTTCATTATGATAATAATATAAATTCATTATAAGCTCAATATTATAGAGCTGCAACTAACAATGATTTTGATAATTGATTAAGCTAATCTTTTTCATTTGATTAAAAGGATAGATGGATAATTTATTGATACCTCATTAAATTTAGGTGTCCAGCAGAAGAGACATATTCATCCATTAGCTACTTGGACTTGCTTGGTTAGTGCTTGAACTATTAATTTGTGTTTCTAAATCTAATCTAAATTATGTATGAAAGTTAATACTTGACTAAAACCTTTTTATTGTTAAATTGAAACATTTGTACTTTTCTTATTTTATATTTTTGTAATTACTGCTCTTTTTCGAGTCTTAAAATATTAATGCACAACATTTTCATATGCTGGAATCTGTAAATAGAGCAGTTAATGATTAATGGATAACAAAAATAGTAGTATTACCTCCATTAAATGTGATTTATTGATTAATCACTGCAGCCCTAAACATAAACTTTCATTGAATTAGAATGTATTCATTGTTGTTAATAGCACCAGAGAATAGTAAATATGTTCCTCTATATAGTCAACAGCAACCAAATGAAAGCATAGCCTGTGTATCTCCATAAAGCTTTCAAACCTCTAAAATGTAAATCCTGTTTTTATCATTCTCACACTTTCTGTGTTTGATATATGTCACTTTATTCCCACACAGTGATCTGGCAGGACTCACCTGAGCGCTCTGACCTACTGCCATCTCCCATCAGCCCTCCCCCTGCGCCTTCGGCCAAGTGGACATTCTGTAACCTTTGAAGCAAATGCTGCCCGTGCCTGATTTCTTTGGACAAGCGTTGCTCTCTCCCTTCCAGCATTAGCATAACACTCTACACATGACCACCACATACAAGTAAAAGAGGATTTTGCAAATCAGCTGACATTCGGCCTCAGTTCCACGCAAAAGTCATGTTTTATACTCGTTTTTTAACTCAAAGCAACTGTGGAAACCGGAATTTTTCACACACTGTATAAAAGGGATGTAATATCCAAGGTAAATCTGGCAAAAATGTAGGTTCGCGTCACGCTCGTGTCTGCTCAGCAACAATGAGGATTTTACTAAAAGAATATAATTAGGCCCAATTTACAAGGACAGTTTTGAAGACATTTTCTGTGGTGTGAAAGAAAACTCTTTGGCCATAATTTTGTGAAATTTTATGGAAAAAGGGGGAAGCCTGTAATCCAGACATTTTAACCAACTCTGAAGTATGGGGGTGGCAGTCTCATGTTGTGTGATCAATTTGGTGCAGAACTGTCATCTGTCCCTAGATTAGCAGAGGTGCATTTTGCTTAGAACCAAGACTGACTAAAACCAAAATGATGATAGCCAACAGTGCAGTCCCTCTCTTAACTTGTCCCCAATCAACAGCCTGTCTTCCACTCCTTCTGCTGTTCTCACAAAGCTCTTACAAGACTCACTTGAAAGCAGTGGGAGCCATCTTAAAGGTGAAATCAAAGTCTGATTTTGATAAGCACCACTGTTAGCCATGACGCCCAAACAAGGTCAAAGAGTTCTTTTCCAAACTAGAGGTAAAATAATCACTGCTCTTATAATACATATAGAAGCTGGTTAAAAGCTTGTGACGCTTTACAAGAAGTCTATGCTTTTTTTCAGTTGATGCTCTATCCAGAGCTGAAAGTGTGAGACAAGTGAATATGACTGGGCAGCTTTGGCTCACATCATTAACAGGTCCAAGTGAAAAGCTGTTTCTCACTTCCTGTTTGCTATTACTGACAGCCACACTGAGATCAACATGAGAGAGTCCCTGTGCTGATCCTGCATCAATTAATTTCATGAATGACTACTTCATGTTGGGGAAACAAACTCCCAGTGGCACGCGGCTTACCTCACCCATCTCTGGCCTCACACTCACAGAAGAGCCACTGCCATAAATAGTAACAGCCTAATGGACAAAGCCGTATGTAACAAGAGTGACGACAACAAAAACACATCTGGTATTTTTAGTTATCTTGAGGTGTTTTTTTTACATGTATGATTTGTGGTGAGCATAGCTACAAACCTTTCTGTATATATATATGCTTGGGTTAAAGCTGCATTACCTGACTTTATTTTTTTATTCCTTACAAAAATTCAATCCATATCCATGCAATGCATTGGGATATTCGTCCTTTTGAAGAAAAAGTAGCGCAGATTTGTGCTGGCGTGTCATTTAATTTTAGATCAAGTTTTGATGCAACAAGGAAGAGAATTTGTTTCGGGTCCAGATTGTGACCAATCACAGCGGACCACTGGCCCCCGCTTTCTTGAGAAAAGCCACAGGTCTCATGTTAGCACAGACAGCTGAGGTAAACAAGCAGCGGAGGCTAACCTGAAACTTCCGGTGTCTTTGTTACCGGTTTCTGCTTACTCAGCGAAACATCCCTCCGAAAGAAAGTCTCGTTCCTCCGTGCTTCCCGGTTCAATCATTCTATGGTCACGCCATCCACGTGCGATCCATATTGTGAGACATGAGCTCCGTATACATAGCGTAGCATGTAGCATGTGAGCGCAGGCTGAGGGGAGGGGGGTACTGGGGGCGAAAGCTCCGTGCAGGGAGGGCGAGCAAAAAGAGCGAGCTCACCGCTCACATTCAAACATTTCTCAAAGTCAGTTAGTGCAGCTTTAAATCAATTGAATAAGATTTTTCCATCAGAAAGAAAGTAATACACAAGGGTGTGAGTTTTTAACTTAGAATGGTTTTCCTGCTGGAAAAATATAATGAAAAGCATTTGAAAATAATCAGCATTTTTGTTAGTTAATCTAAAGTTTTGCATGGAAAAGCACTGTCAGCCCCGAGTTGGGGCTGCTTTAATTGAGCTGGACCATACAGTAAGCCTGGGGCAGCATAGAGCTGATGACAATCCTGGTGACTGTGAGAGTGTCCCAGGTATTCACATCTGTTTGAGACACATGTTGTTGGGGAAAAATGATATGACTAAAAGAGAGACCAGAACAGATGCAAACCATTGTAGATTAGGATTTCTATGAATTCAACTTATTGTTGCTTGCATAAAGAGACGAGTCTAGATGCATAACTCATGTTTGTGAAGGTCTTCAGTGGTCTGGTCGGGGGCCGCTGGCCTGGTCTGAACCAGGAGCTGCTCAAAAGATGTCATTATGCACTGAAATGAATGAAACAACACCACTTTTTTAAACCTGTTCTCATACGTTTCCTCTGAGCCAGAGGCCACAGCTCTCGGTTCTGATATAAATCCATAGATTGTAACCATAGCACTGTGCTCTTCAGTGAGGCAGCATTCAGTTCAAAACTCTCTCATCTCGCTTAGCTCTATCCTTCGATCCCTGGGGCTTTGGGCATGTAAGTGAGTTCAGTGCTAAGGGAAAATGTGGTATGATTTCTATCAATACAGCAGGGATTTCAATTTAGAAGAGGATGGTTGATCATGAACACGAGATGGTCAGTGCTTTCCAGGTTGAAGGACGATTCACCACACTATGAGGTCAAACTGCGTAGTCTGGGCAAAATCCTCTCCCCAGCCAAGAAGCGCATCACCAGGACACTCAACACAGCTCACAGCACTGTTTCAAGGAACATTTTCGATATAAAACAAAAAAATATACTGGCTATTTTTTGTCAGTCTTTCATAGCTATTTAATGAAGTTTTCCACTTATTGTTTTTAAGTTTCAAAACGAGAATCAGACCCACTCTTAATTGATTGTAACTACCACTCATTATATGCGTATTGCCCTAGATTTTTCTTTGAAATAAACCACTGTTAATTTTGCTACATGTACAGTCAATTGATTGACACGTATATTCCTCACTGATAGTTACATGAACATCTCCAATATCATTAAAAAAGTGAATTCAACAAAGTGGGGTCGTAGTGATGGGTTATATCTTGTTGTATCATACCTCCAAAGTAGGATCCATCAGACAGTTTTGTCTCCTTACTGCCCTTAGTGAGCACGCTGACCACACCGTGCTGAATGAAGTACATCTTTTTGCCGATGGTACCTTCTCTAATGATATAATCTCCGGGCTGGAACACCTCAAACTTGAGCTTAGTCAACATTGAAGTGACAAAATTTGGATCTGCATTTGCAAACAGAGGCATGGACGCCACCAGTTTTCGACAGTTAAAGTTGATTATTTCCTGTATAATGAGACAAGAAAAGAATATGCACCGTGTTTTAACAAAGAATGACAATCTATTGCATTTTGGAAATCAAACACACAAAAAGAAGATTGTGAGGGGCACTTTTCTCACCTCTCGAAGTGGTTCATTCAGCTCTCCCAGGATGCTTTCCTCGTCAAACATCTTTCCTTGGTAACGGTGCTCATAATAGTCATGGATTCTTTGCCTCATATCAGCAGGCAGCTTATGAAAGGACATGTACTGCTCTACTTGTTTATACTGCAGAGACACAAACACAGAAGAACTTGGGTTATTTCATGCACAATGAAGGAATGAATCAAGTATGATATTCTCATTGTGACAAGGCAATATTTTTACTCTACTCCCTTGCAGCAGTGTAAGTCAGTAGAATAGGTGCTCTTTGGTGAGGGGAATGTCAATGTATAAAAAGGTATAGAAAGCGAGGTACACTCTTAAAATCAAAATGCCTCTATTGAATATGACATGTCTCAAAAGACCAAGTTCTGCAGGGAACAAATAGGGTGTAAAAAGTATAATGTGATAATAGTGGTGTTCCTATTAAAAGACATTTATTTAACTAACAAAGTCCCAATGAGAAGAATCCAGTCGCTGTGTCGCGTAAAGGGTAAGAGAGGGTGATTGTAGTGAGTTTAGAAAAAGTGACTTTAGTGATGAACAGGCGTTTTTCTCACAATGTTACAGCAAAAAGTGTAATTGATGATCACACCTCTTTAACCGGTGTCACAGTATTGGTCTATGGCTGCTACTATTGTTTTAAGTCATGGTCTAAAAATCATCTGCTATGTCATGATAGCAAACATGGCTAGACCTGCAACAAGCCATATTTTTAAGATTGAAAATGCGAGAAGCTTCATTCTAAATGTCACAATTTGTCTTGTTTGGTCAATCAAGAAAAACACTGATGAGTATAATGTGACTACAGATGTACACATTTAGCTTGTGTAGCACATCATGCAGAACAAATGAGAGCACCAAGGATTACTTAAAGGTCTGATCCGTAACCCTCAAATACAGAGATAGAATTAAAGATTAACTGAGTGAAGGAGATGTACTTTGATCACCATTACAACACCGGCAACACCCAATGAACGTGCCAACATAGTTGACCTTAGACGTCTTCTACTTTGTTCCACCACTTCTGTCACAGCCAATCTTGGAGACCATCCTCAAAAGGGTGCTCTCGTGCAAATCTTACACAATAAATACGGACAGCTGTCTTGTGCGAGTCACATTGTTTTTGCAAGAGGAGAAATGCTGTCAGGGCTCTTCAAAATCAGTGCGCATCAGGGGAGTTAATATTAAACACAAGCCAGTAACATGAGATACAATGATACGTGGGATGTTTCACCGAGCTTTACCGTGACCCACCGGCACACAGTGACAGCACGCTAAACTATGTTTATATCACATGTAAACATTATTCCTCTTTGTAAGATATTGCTCATGATTTGTAACAAATTTGCCTACCAAATATGATTTTTTTTCTCATGAATGTAGTGATGGAAAAAAATGCTTTGATAAAAAAAAAATAGTATGAAAAATACTAATTATTTTTTATTTTTGCAGGGGGCAAATCAAAATGTTAATACTTGGTCAGAATTCATGTAGGATCGTGCATTAGGTGTTACATGGCAAATACAACCACGGGCAACATATACATGTAGCAAAATGAGAAATATCTTTAATACAGTTTGTCAGGTTGGAAAGGATAAGTCAGTAATTCAAGAATCTGCAGAGACAGAGTTTTAAACTAGATTTCTTTTTAATGCAGCCTTAAATAGCACTCGTTATATTTTCCTTCTACAGCTCTGTCATAGCTATAGCCTGATATATTTACCACAGTTATCACCAGAGGTGTGGACTCGAGTCATGTGACTTGGACTCGAGTCAGACTCGAGTCATGATTTTGATGACTTTAGACTCGACTTGACCAAATATAAAAAGACTTGCAACTCGACTTGGACTTTAACATCAATGACTCTGACTTTCACTTGGACTTGCGCCAATTGACTTGTAAAGACTTGCGTAACCCGGGCCATTTTTACCTTTCTCCGCATCTCTCTTTCTATCTATGCCGTCTCTGAAGAAACAAAGCCTCGCGGTAGTTGTAGCGCTCGCGAGAGAGTTTGAACGTGAGTTCCCCGCAGTTCGCGCAGCAACACTTCCCTAAACAAGCGGACTGCATTCACCGGTGGGTGTGTTGTCTAGGGGAGCTGGAAATGAGAGAGCTGCAGGTATTTATCGCGACCTAACGTCATATTTTGTTCTACAAACCGTAATTGATATGCTTTCACTACAGGCGCCTCATACAATTGAATCGACGCAGTTGTCACACTGTGTGCCGTGTTTTAAAGAGGAACTGGTGAGTCAAACTAGCGCTAGCCTGCGCTGCTCTGTTGGCTCTTTCTTATATTTTTCTGTGTGGGCGCCGAGGCCTATTATTATGAGTATGTTTTTGCTGTGCTCCTCCTGCTAAAGTTTGCATACATTAAATAGTTGTTTTGATTATGTGCACTAAGCTAGATTAATATTTGCACTATTGTTTATGGTGCATTGATATGAGAATCAGTGCTTTGACTGATTGAATTAATTTATATGAGACATTTTATTATGTAATGATATATTGGTAATTATTAGTGGGCAAAGCTCCCACTGAAAGATCAAGGCTATGCTCACACTCAGAGCAGCCGTCCTCCTGTGGACTCACCACCTGCAGAGGGTCGGTGAGGGGCTGGTGCTATGAGACTTGGGTGGCATCTCTGATTGCCACCCCCCTGACCCAGAAATGGATTAAAGGGTAGAAGATGGATAGATGGATATTGGTAATTATGAGATATTGCTAATGCTGGTCCAGTTGATGGCGAGCTGCCCCAGGTCCAAAGCCTAGACCCCTCATACTACCCCTATTCTACAGTAGGACATTTGGAACAATAACCACTACGGACATTAAACTGTCATATATAGATACAGGTCCTAGCCCAATACTCATATTCATATATGCTGCACTTGCTACTTCCCATTAAAAACCCCAAAGATAAAAAGTATGTTGACACGGACTGCTCTGATTTTATGTGTGGTCTGTGCATGTGTAACTGAGCCTGCATCTGGCACAACATAGTTTTGATTTACCAGCAGCCAACCACATGGAACAAACTGTTAGTCCATGGGTCAGAGACCAACGAGAATGCACCAGCAAAATGATTCCTAACATTATTTTGTTTGCCTACAAAAGTACGTGGAGACCAACAAGAAACAAATCGCGGTCAAAAAGACTCGAGAGGACTCGAAAGTCAAACCGTAGGACTTGGGACTGACTTGAGATTTGTTGGCCTTTGACTTGGACTCGACTCGGGACTTGCCTGTCTTGAGCGCCACCCACTCAGCCACCGGACCACCCTGTCATTGATACACCTGCCTCATTAAAGAATCTACACGTCAAAATGTCAAAAGTGAGGCTTACTTGAACAGAGAGAGTTCAATTCAAAGAAAACCCTGAGTGATATAGCCAAGCTTTAAATAAACTAACAATAAATTAGTAATATTTACTTACTGGAAAAAATCTATTTAAAATAACTTTGATATCTGAAGTATGATTGTAGTTAGGGTTTACAGGGTACTTCTGGAGCTACCTTCTCAGACATATGCTCTGAACGATGAGCCATCTAAGTGGGGCTAACAAAGGGGCCAAAAATGATTTGCTACTCTTACTCTACTGAAAGCATTTCAATTTGGAGAGACGTGAAACAAGAAGCTTTTGAGTATTTTATTGGGAGGAGGTTTGGCGCCCTAGGCCCCGGTGCGGCCTTCAGATCGGAGGGGCTCTGCGATGGAGCGCGCCAATCCTCCGGGACCTAGGCACTGGTGGCGGCATTTGGCAGCGGGAAGCAGATTGAAGGCGGATTGAAGGCAGGGTGAAAAGGAGGAGGAGGGGAGGCGGTGGTTGCAGGCTTCGAGAGGCCGAGAGTGGGAGTTTCTCCGCTTTTAAGCGGCTGCCTGGCCGGTACGGTGATTGGAAGGGGCGTTTGCAGTGCGATAGGCTGGGGATGAGAACCGGCCTGGAGGGGTTACCTTTGGCTGACGTCTACCAAATTGAATTTCCGCTGGCTGCATTTCAATTTGGAGAGACGTGAAACAAGAAGCTTTTGAGTATTTTATTGGGAGGAGGTTTGGCGCCCTAGGCCCCGGTGCGGCCTTCAGATCGGAGGGGCTCTGCGATGGAGCGTGCCAATCCCCAAAAAAGGTTGTGAGTTGATGGAGTTTTGCAGCCTGGTTTGGAGGGGACAGAACGACGAGACTACTCTATGCTGTGACCGCTATCGCTATATACTGTGACCGCTATCGCTATATACTGTGACCGCTATCGCTATATACTGTGACCGCTATCGCTATATACTGCGACCGCTATCGCTATATACTGTGACCGCTATCGCTATATACTGTGACCGCTATCGCTATATGCTGATGACCATCGTGCGCTAACCATTTTTTGCTATATACTGTGACCGCTAACCATTTTTTGCTATATACTGTGACCGCTATCGCTATATACTGTGACCGCTATCGCTTATATACTGTGACCGCTATCGCTATATACTGTGACCGCTATCACTATATACTGTGACCGCTATCTACTGTGACCAAACTTGCGGATACTCAGCTGCTGCCGCCACCAGAAAGTTTAGCGAGCGTTTTAAGGAGATGCCAAAGCCGCTGGGCTGCCAGGATGGTAGAAGTGTCAGGCCTGATGTATGAGGAGAGGGCCGATGATGACCAGCGGCCCAGCTGCTGGAGGGCGGAATGGGGGAGCCCCAGGGACGCGGCGCGCGTGGCGGCGCCTATCCGGAAGGAGTGGGCTGTGTAGAGATGGGGAGACAGATTACAAAGCAGCAGTACGGACTTGAGTTGGGCTCTGAACCAGTTAGATGACATGGGAGGTTATCAGGGGTAAGAAATAACGGTCCGTTGAGATCTCCTTTCCGAGAGCAGAGGCGAGTGTAATGCATCATGGATCTGTAGGGACAGGGAGAAGTGTCAGACCGAGCTATGACTATATTGCAAGCGCCTTTGCGTTTGGAATGCTTGAGGTGGAGGTTGAAGTAGTCGGGATAATATGACAGGTCAGAGAAGGCAATGTCTCGGGATGCATTAAAGGTGGCGTGAGAGTTTGTGAATTCGCTTATGCGTAAGAAGCCCATTTTCATGTAGGATGCAGCGGAGGAGAGAAGGTGAAGAGACGGAGGGACTAGACCAGGGCGAGGGATTCCGTGCAGGGGATCTGGCATGGCGATGGATTGGCAGAAGGGCAGAGGCGTCAGAACTCCTGGAATTTAAAGCGAGAGAGAGAGTCAGCAATACGGTTAGGTGACGAGGGACGTGACGAACAGTGATGATAAATTGTTCGAGACTGAGAGCCGTGTGATGCGTCTAAGGAGGATGTGATTTGGGGAGAGGATGAACGACTTCTGTTAATTATTTCAATGGCGTCGAGGTTGTCGCACGTCACGGAAATCCTTTTCCTATGCCGCGTATGGTTCCGCAGCACGCAGGCTCCAGTCACGGGATATATCTCGTGGAGCGCGGAGGAGATGCTTCGAGGGAAAGCGTCGGGCCGGGGCCCGGCGAGCCACTGGTCCTGGAAAACCCCCAAAACCCACGGACGGGGCTGCGTCCGTGAAGAACCGCGGGGCATCTGAGACAGGATGATGTCACTGTAAAAAAAAGAGATACACCATCCCAGCGGCTCTGCAACAGGACCGGAACGCCAGGTCGGAGCAGCGCCCCGCGTCCGGGCAGACGCGTCATCGACGGAGGAGACGGAGCCGGCGAGGGAAGGAGTCTGGAATTAAAAGAACGACCTTGGGGAATGATACAGACGGCATAATGAAGATGCCCGAGGAGGGAGAGCAAGGACGCCTCGAAGTGACGGGAAGGCCAGGGCAGACCGGGAGAAAGCGCGGATGCGTTCGAGCTTGTCCAGCGGGAGGGAGGCCTCCATGGCGCGTGTGTTGAGGCGGATGCCGAGAAACTCCAGAGCGTTGGCGGGGCCTGTGGGCTTCCCGGAGTGGAGGAATCCGAGGGCAGAGAAGGCGGGCCTGAGCTTGCGGAGAGAGCCCCCGGAGCAGTCTGAGGGTGGGTCGACTATGAGGGAATCATCGGGGAGATGCAGACAGAGGGGAGCCGCGCGAAATTAAGCAAAATCCGACACGGCGCCTCCGAGAGATTGTTGAACGAGAGGGACTACTCCGGCAGTCAAAGGTGAGGCGCACTGCGAAGAAGAACTCCGACGCCACTTGACCCCTGAACAGCGCCAGTGGTCGGGGTGGATGGCAGCAGCTTGAACGCGACCGGGATGACGGCCTTGGAGAGCCAGGAGCCGGGTCCGAAAGTCTTTATCAGCCTGATCGCGTGGTCCACGGTAGCGGACTGCGGGGAGAAGGGCGCTGGAGGGAAGGGGCTGTTGATGCTCGGGGCGGGCCCGGAGCGGGGACAGGAGAGGACGAGTATGAGACGCTTCTTCCTGGAGTGCTTGCGGGTGGCGATGCCCATCGGGTTAGAGCGAGACGGAGAGAAGGGGCCAATGACGTAGCCCACGGACACCTCCCGCGCCCGAGCCGCGTGCCGACTTGGGGCTCACGGAGAGCCGGGAAGAGGTTGCGGGACACGAGACGCCGAGGGACCTAAACAGAGCCTGCAGTCTAATGTGAGGGATTTAAATAGAGCTTGCAGTCCAAAGTGAGGTATTAAAACTGAGCCCGCAGTCCAAGTGAGGCGTTTAACGGAGAGCCTGCAGTCCGGTGTGAGGGAGTTAAACGATGGGAGGGATCCAACAGAGCCTGCAGTTTTTTTTTTTTTTTTTTTTTTTTTTTTATATTTATTTATATTTATTTATATTTATTCATATTTACATTTATTTATATTTATTTATATTTATTTATTTTTATATATGAGTGTTCCAGATATAAGCAGTACCATATATGCAGTTCCAATATGAGCAGTTCCATATACTGTAAGCAGTTCCGTATACAAGCCGTTCCATATATAAGCAGTTCCATATATAGCAGTCCCATATATAGCAGTTCCTTAAATAGCAGTTCCATATATAAGCAGTTCCATATATAGCAGTTCCATATATAAGCAGTTCCATATATAAGCAGTTCCGCATGAAGCAGTTCCGGGTACGGTATAACGGCTCCAGATATAAGCAGTTCCAGATATAAACAGATCCGTGCGGGATTAACCTGGGAGCTCGCAGTCCAATGTGAGGGATTCAATTTGGGAGCCGCAGTCCAGAGGGATTTAAACGGGGCTTGCAGTCCAAAGAGAGGGATTTAAACAGAGCTCGTAGTCCAGAGAAGGATTTAAAGAGAGCCTGCAGGCCAAAGTGAGGGATTAAAACTGAGAGCACACAGTCCAATGTAAGGGATTAAACTGAGGTCTTGCAGTCCAATGTGAGGAATAACGGAGCTTGCAGTCAGAGTGAAGGATTTAAACGGAGCTTGGTTAAGAGAGCCTGCAGAACAATGCGAGGGCTTTAAACTGAAGCTTGCCCACCAATGCACGGGGCCAACTGAGCCTGCAGTACAAGCGCGGGGCGAACTGAGCCTGCAGTACAATGCGAGGGGAATAAACCGTCCGCATACTTACCCACAACGCCAGAAGACAAGGGACAACACAACGGGACCACGCCGTACCGGCACGAGGAGGCAGGGATGCGCACAGCTCCCACCGCACCGGGCCAGACCGGCCGTATGCAGCAGCAGGCCGCGACGAGACGAGCAGCGGCGAACCCGCAGAAAGAGCCCGCAAAGGAGGAGAGCGGCAAAGACCCACGGACCACAGCACGAGACCCGCAGCAGGAGCAGCGACGCGGAGGAGGAGCGACCACACGCAGCAAGACAGAGGACAGCAGGGACCGCAGGAGTAAGCGTGAGTAGACAAAAGCGATTCCTCCAGAACGATTCTTTGCAAGGCTTCGAGAAGGCCGAGAGTGGGAGTTTCTCCGCTTTTAAGCGGCTTGCCTGGCCGGTATGGGTGATTGGAAGGGGGCGTTTGCAGTGCGATAGGCTGGGGATGAGAACCGGCCTGGAGGGGTTACCTTTGGCTGACGTCTACCAAATTGAATTTCCGCTGGCTGCATAACAACATGGTAATAAAAACATGATTTCCCTTCACTCTATTGCCTTCATCTTTGTGTATGAATGCTTTTCTTTGTTTGGATTGGACAAACAATTTATTAATGAAAATCACCAGGTTCTAGCTGTGCAGCTAATTTCCATCCTCACTGATGGTAGATGTGTTTAGGGGTAGCGGAAACCAGAGTACCCGGAGGAAACCTATACAGGCATTGGGAAAACATGCAAAGTCCACAGAGGTTCTGGAGGTGGAATCGAACCTAGGACCTTCTCGCTGTGAATCTGTGAAGTGCTATTGTGCTGCCAATGTAGGCGTAATACATGCAAAGACTACATTTAAAAAAAATCTTTATTTTTATTTTTTTTACTAAAAAGCATTTAGCTTTGTTTATGAAAATAATTATTGTTTAATTAGCAAGTGCTAATTGGACTCTGAAATGTCATGCAATATAATTTTCTTCTCCAATCTCTTGGTACAAACATGTCTTAACATGCTACTCAACAGTGTCCCATGTGTCTACGCAACTTCAGCTGACAACAAAACAAAATGACATCTAATGGCTTTCAGAGGTACTAAGAGCATTGAATAAAAGTTTGTTTTATTTCAAAGTCTAGTCCAGCGACTAGTGCATCAGCATCGACTCATGGTTTATATCAATCAGTAGACGTTGATACAAAGTCCTCAGTGAACAAGACGGCAAAAATAATATCATTAATGTGAATCTTGTTTTACGTTCTACATGATGGGCTCTGCAACCCACTTAGATATTTGGATCAGCAGAAAACTCCATACTCTACCTTCAATCGTCTAAAAGGAAAATGTGTTTAAAACTAATACGTCAGTTCAAACTGAAAATTATACCATTTATTCCACCAAAACCGAATCAAGCTGATAGTAAGACCACTCCACCCTCATTTTTTTTTCAGATACAAATACAATTGCCATGATATGCACAAAATGCAGAAAGAATGATATTGAGCCCAGAATCAGAAGCAAATGACTTTGGTAGCACATCCCAAGACAGACTGTTCAAATAAGTTGGCAGCAAGTGCATATAAAAAGAGCAACCATTTATTGTCCACACAGATTAGCAGTATGAATTTGGAATGTACAGTCTTTCAGCAGTGGGAAATTCGGGGGACTGATGCACTGAATGCATCAGGATTATATGTCTGTGAATCTCTTACTACATTCTCAATCTCATCTAACTCAAAATGTTATTAATGTTGTAGGTTTCTAGAGACTATGTGGCTCCATTACCTGGGTGTAAAACCCCTCCCAACCTTTCATCCCTGCAGACATGGCCAATATGTCAGCCTAGCAGCTCATTATCGCCCATGCTGAGGCTGGAGAGGGCATGGCACCCAGGAACACAGCTCAGCCATTGCAACCAGCTGTCAGAGCATTAAGCTCTGGATTCAAAGAGCCCCTCTCATTGGAAACATTGGATATCAACAAGATTCTTATTGGAATCCTCTGCACCCAGCACTAGTACTTACTAATCAGAGCTGATGCAGCTCACTCTTTATGTTCACATTTAACATGGTCTGTCTGTCTCATAAATACAGTGGAACATTTTCCTGTAAACACTTAAGGACAAGACTTAAACAACAATAATCTCAATAATGATCACTGTTTCTGTAATGATTCATCGCTTAACAAACTGAATGTAAACAGTACATGTTCTAAACTCACCTTCTCCTGGTATTGCCGCCGAGATGAGTCCAGCGACTGGATTAGTGCCGTGGCGTGGCCCACAAACATGGCATAGCAGGTAGCCCCCACGATCATGCTAAGGATAGTGAGCCACACGTCTGTCATTCCCACTGGGGGGTACATGCCATACCCGATACACAGCATGTGGCTCATCGCTTTGAAAAGTGCGTAGGAGTACTGCTGTCCCCATGTGTCATTCTGTAAAAGGCATTAGAAGACAACAGTTTATTTGGAGATAACAATAACCATTGTAATCTATGTTTTAACCTTAATAGCTCAGGACATAGAGGCTCACATAATGTTATCAACATCCTTAAATCCTTTCCCATAACGACAAAGCCAGCATTTGGGCAGCCGCCTAAAGCATAGCTCTGAGAACGTGTAGATAAGGCAGTGGACGCAGGAAGCTTGTGTGACACAAACTAGGTCAGCTATTTAGAAAGATGTGATTTCTCTCAGAGTTTTCACATTTTTAGTAGATAAATTGGCCTTTCCCTGTAGTTCCCGGTGGTAGTTCATGGCAAATCAATATCGACTCTTTCCTGAGGGGGATATGTCCGAATTGCTCATTTCCACTGTGGAAAAAACGAAGAGATAATGATTTTTTACTAGTTCTTTCCTGAAAAGGTAGAGTGATGTACCAGCCAGGTAATAGGACTATATAAGAAGACAGAAATCACTGCTAATCATTCCAATCAGGGCCAAACCAAGCATGACTGATCCCATCAACGACCACAGCTCCATAGACAGCAGGTAATGTTAACTGAACATGAGAAAGCTTTCATTTAAGAGGAGGCTGCCTGGCAGCAGGAATTAAATCAGGATTCACAAAGACCGCCCTGTTTTCTACTTTCCACAGTTTGTTCTGATAAATAATGTGGTCGCAGTAGGCCCTCAACTACATTAGTCTACCATATGTTCGGTAGATATATTATAAGGAAATGGCAATAATGTGATGACCAATTAATTTCTCAAACATTTATCAGTAATATATCATGAAGTATGAGGCAGGAGACAGTGATTTGCGGCGTCAACTTACCTCTCCACTATTTATTACTTTCAGCTAGACACCATTAGCATATACTGTATAGCACAGCACTGAACTCAGAACCGGATGCTTCACAACACCAATAGAACTGTACTGTCACCTAGTGGAATAACTTGTGGCGACCTTTTAACCCGTGTACAACATTTGAGTGTCACCACATAGACCCCCGCCCCCCCCAGAGGTCCCCAAGAATGCAACACAGTTACCAATATAACAAGTGCAAACATTGTCATTGTAAAAAAGTGAAAACGGAGTGATCTTGCATTGAAAATCAGAAAAAATGGTTCGGTGGGGTGGCCAAACAGGTGGAAGTTCAATTTTAAAGGGGCACCATAGTTAGAACACGGGACAGAGTAAGAGAAGCGGCTGAAGCGGTTTGCCGAGGTCCATGTGAGCAGGTTTAAGGCGGTCTATGAAGATCTTGGAGTGACGTCATTGTTTATAGTTTTTCGGTGCCGGTCACGTGACCGGGTGGCAAAACAGCATAGAAAGCTACCTGGATGCTAGAGCGTTAGCTATTTTTAGACGTTTGGAAAGAGGTTTTACTAAATCAAATGGTCCATTCTTGTTGTGTGGTCGGTTGTACGGCCCGCTGGGGGACAGATTAAGTTTTTTTTCTAATTCTTTCGGGAAAAGAACAGCAAAAAACGGTGGTTAAGTGGTTTCCCTTTTATGCTGTTACCTACGGTAAACGTAGACCGGGAAGCCGGGGGGATGAGGGGATAAAAATTCCTTAACAAATTTAAGTTTTGCATCTACTTTCACTGCACACTTGGTCACTGTGATGAATAATTAAAAAAATTGCATTTTGGTTGCACATTTACCGTAGGTAACAGCAAACAGGGGCAACCCGCTTTTAATGTGCGGACCACTTTACCGTAACGGCAAAATGCCGGGCCACTTTACCGCGGACCCTTCTTGCTTGAAGGGTCCCAGGTTTTCTATGAAGTTAGAATAAATGTCTCAGAGTCCCAGTCCCAGCAGATCGTTGCCAAGACAGAGGTGAGTCTGAACAATGTTTCTTCTTGTCATCCCAGGTCTCATATGGGCTTTGGATTTGTTCAGTTCGATCTCATATACTTATTTTTAGCTTGTCTTTATATCTCCTGATCTTCTTGCGTTAAAGTGCTTATATACAGTGCATTTCACCCACTGAGTCTTTTAAAAGATCCTCCTATAGCCACTCGCTCTGACCTACCCCCATGTCCACCACAAAGTTCTTAGGTCCTGCAACCAGGACACGGAAAGGTCTGTCGAAAGGGGCCTGCAGTGCAGCCCGATGGCCGTCATGACAAATGACTATGTACTCGGCAGTTGGCAACGCTTTGGGCACGTAGGACTGGGACAGGCCGTGGCGAGTCGGTATTGGGGCAAAAGCCTCGCTATACGTCATTCTGTGGCAAAACATCGACCATGGATTCGCAGCAAAGCCCAGACATATATGATACAGGTGACCCAGACGGAGAGGAAAAAAGTGAAAAACTATGTATTTTCAATTCACGTCAATGACAGTCAATCCTATACGTTCCTAAAGGTTTTTTGTTTGTTTTTTGCCTGGAATCTAGCAAATAGGGTTGCGAAAAATATATTTATTTGTAACTCAAATCAAGGCTAACATTTACGTTAACATTTACCATTGATTGACTAATGAATTAACTGGCGCTGATAGGATAGATAAACATTTATAGATGTTTATTTTATGGGAGTCACTTACCACCATCTTATTCTTGGCCACCCAACAGTCTGCAGGAAAGTCCTGCAGCATGGGCACGAGGAACTGCAGACAGCCGTCCCAGTGACACAGCAGCAGCATCATCCCGATCAAGTTGACAATCCGCACCATGGCACTGGCCAGGTCATAGGTCATATGGAAGATCTAAAGAGCAGAGGAGAAAAGAAAACAACAAACAAATAATGGGTTAAGATCTAGAGCTCAAATCTCTGTCTGATTAGAAAGTCCATATTGCGACAGGGGAGATTTGTCTCACAACACCATTTGTATGCATGCACTTATGTTCTGGATCAAGTGACCCATGCCGGGGATTGACGCAGTAGGAAATGTGCAAAGAGTTAAAGAGAGCTAAAAGCGTGTTCGCAGACAATCCTATGGGAATAGTTAGTGCAAGATGACACATACTTGGCCCATGTTGCTTAGTCAGTTTTGTCACAGTTACTCTAATACATTAATGGCCCATCAAAGTGGAGGCACCATTCTTATTGAACTTCACTATAGTATGATAACGTATATAGAATAATGGTGACATTTTTTATTGATTATGCCACTTGAAATAATAATGACCTACACGTTCCGCTTGTGGCTGTATGTTTTTCATCGTCACTCAAACTTGCTTCTCTGTCCCAGTATTCTCAGTCTCTTTGGCAGGCACTTTTCGCCAAGGACAATCTCTTGTTAACCGATGCTGAATGATCCACAAAGCTGCACCGTTATTCCTTTAAACCATTGTTGCATAAATCATGAATAAATCATAAATCTTATTCTAAATTAATAGAATTATTCGATTACAAAACAACTTTAAGCCAAGAAAACCCTTTTAGTCCTTGCTCAGTCCAGAAAAATAAAAGTTGTTTAGAGGACGATTATAAGACTATGATGTGATTGTTTCAATATTGTCGTTTTAAAAATATTTGTTTATATTATTTTTATTATTATCATTATCATTATTATTATTATTTTTAATATTTATAAATAAAACATTTTTTGAAGATCTATACATAATACTAACAGTGTGAGAGTGGGCGCAAACAGATGCCGTGAGAAAGCAGACACATATGCTTTATGAGGCTGATGGAGCTGCCCAGACACAGACTGTGTCGCACTGCACTCAGGCAGCTGCTGTTACCACCACACTGCATCGCTAATGATGATGAATGAACAAGCATGGTCAAACATGTTGGTGACAAAACCAACTGTGATGCATATTTTATATTTGCTCTTTCGATCTGTATGTTTAGGATTAAATTATAAACTGCAACAAAAAATAAAGAAGAAACATGAAATATATGGGTCATATTTCTGACTAAAGTATGTCCATAGTAATTAGTAGATCATCACTATGGAGGATGTTCGCTCTCTTCAATTCGACTACTGAAACCACTTACATGTGAGTCCATGGAATGTGATATTCAGACTAGTCCTGGTAAAAATGTGCACAGTGTCGTGGCAGACAGGGTTGAAATGTGGCACAGGGAACTGGACCACAGGGAACAGCCTTCCATCATCTGTCTAAACAGGCCTGCAGCATAAGAGGTGCTAAAAGACTCTCTTTGCTCCATACCATTGAGTTTGTGCAGGATTACACATTTCACCCCAAAAGGTTTTTAAAGAAAATCCACCGAGGGTATTCATATCACACAAGCAGCTCATTCAGGATGTTGAGGACCTGTCACTGTCACTGGAAAGCCTCATTGTGTGATTTATAATAGCCCATTAAATCTATTATTCCTGCTTTTCTTATCTTTAGAAAAGAATCCAGGCAATGAGAGGAGAGCTGATTACCTGATTGAGCAGATATTTATATTTTTGTTCAGATTTATTGACTGGAAAAAACACACTTTTCTATAACCCACTGGTTGACTTCTATCAAAGACAGCATTCACAACTGTAATGCTAGTTTTAGTTTGTCTCAAAGGTGCCCATATAGAACAATGTGACAAACACTATTTCCACAGATGCTCTACGTTTTCTTGGCAAGTCAATGGAGCGGTGTGTGAGGTATCAGTGAAGAGGAGAAGAGGCCCTGTGAGCTCAGTCATTAGTGCACTGCCTTGAATTTGATTTAACAGGATGAGTAACCTCATCCAAGTCTCTGGTTTGTTGACAGCAGACAACTCCAATGAGCAGAATATTTTGTCACAGTGGTATTTATATCCTGATGGGATAGTGACAAGAGGGAGAGATGCATATGCACAGCTCACCATGCTGAATATAATTTTGCACGTCAGTGTTTTCACTGGCACGTACTCACTGCTTCCTCTCTTCCTTTGTTTGTAAACAAACCAATCTGTTAAACATGGCTGTGAGGGCATTCTTCATAAGAGGAAATCATGGCAAAATATATAATTTTGATGGACTATGGGAGTTTGCTGCTCTTTTTGAGGTGAAGGCAAAGCTGTCCTTTTAACACAACCAGGCTGGTATTGTTCAGAAAACTGCCCACAGCAGCACATAAAACATGCAAATGGAAGCTGCCTCTTCTCTGTGTACAGTTATTTAGAGGTGCTTCTTTGTTGCACTTGCAAAAGATCCATCCATCCATTTTCTACCCTTTAATCCTTTCTGGGTCAGGGGGGTGGCAGTCAGAGATGCCACCCAAGTCTCATAGCACCAGCCCCTCACTGACCCTCTGCAGGTGGTGAGTCCACAGGAGGACGGCTGCTCTCTGAGTGTGAGCATAGCCTTGATCTTTCAGTGGGGGCTTTGGGCAAAGTGGGGTTAAGTGTCTTGCCCAAGGACACAACGACAGCAGTCATCACTGGGAGTAGGTGGAGAAGGTGCAGAGGTGGGAATTGAACCCACGACCTTCTGGCCTAAAGGCCAATGCTCTACCAACTGAGCTACTGTCGCCTTGCAAAAGATAAGCAATTATCTTTCCTTCAATTTTTTTATGAAATATGAATACATTTTAATGTATTTGTAAATCATAAGTAAGTCATCTTTGTTTATGTAGTGCCTTTCACAGCCCAGAGTCACAAAGCCTTTTATAATTGTGGGCATTGGTATCTCACTCCACACAGAGATGGGAGCGAGGTTGCCACGAAGACACAAGGAGAACATGCAAACTCCACTTAGAAAGGCCCCGTTCCGACCAGGATTTGAACCCAGGACTTTCTTGCTGAGAAGCAAGAGTTCTATCGCTATAATACTTTTTTATATCGTGTTTAAGGACAGCAGGAGCAGCCGCATCACAGAGAGGGACAGAACAAGGTGGACATGGTCTAAAAGGAAGTCCAGCTTTATCCTGGGCTGCTGAACCAACACATCTGCTCTAGAGAGCAGCTTCAGTGACAGACTATTCCACATTCAGTGTGTGAAGGAGAGGTTCCACAGCTATGTCTTCTCTTCCTGCTGCTGCCAGACAGTACAATGAGAAGTGCTGACCCTGTGCATGTCATTCATATGGAGCAAAAATGTGTGATTACTCATTCATTAATGTTACAATGCATGTTTTAGTCACAAAATATTCAATGTAAGCTGGCTAGAAATGTTTCTGACTGTTATTATTATTAAATCCTACTAACACATGCTATTAACACATGCTCAAATGTAGCATCACGTTAAATATTATCGTAAATCCTGACTGCTGACTACAGAGGGTACTTCCCACGAGTGTACTTCACTTTTTATTGTCCTGAAATGCATTGACAAGAAACACCAACAATCTACAAACTCTTTCCACAATGGGTCATGGTCGTAACACATTCCCCATGAGTGATTCATTTGAACTTGTTCTCACTTTGAAATGCCATCACAGAGTCTGCATGATTAATGTTTCTACACTCTTCTCAAAGTGCTGATTGAACATTTGAAAACATTGGGTTTTTAAAAGTCTGTTAGATCACTGACATTGTTTGACTGGCCGGCTCTTCTTAATTCACCAATCGTGTGTTGAATGTCACTCCAGTGAAACAACCCATAGTCCATTTCTGCCTTCAAAGTTATTAAAGTTGTCTCATTGCTACTCAGACACTAAAAGCTAAAATTACAACTTGTATTGCAAGGCCTAACACTCATACATCTCATGCAAATTCTATGCATATGTACAAAAAATATCTCATCTCTCATTATTGTAATCTTGGGTTAAAACAACAGCGCTGACGCACTACACAGATGAAAGAATTATAACTATCGCCTGAGATGAATTGACTTGAATCGAATGGAGGGGCCTTCCCAATAGAGACATTACGGTCTACATACAGTATATCATTCTTTGACAGAGTGTTGAAGAAGTCATATACATGTTCCTAATTCTAAACATCAGTAAATACAACATTTTCATACATACATTATTCTGTTCAGGGCTTCTTTGTCAGACACCCAACTCTAATCGTTTATGCTATGACCTTGAAATAATACACCAGAGTTCAACTGTTTGTGTGCGGCAACATGTGCATAGTATACTAGATTTAATTGTTTCAATTAACTACTGAATCTGGTATATAAATCTCATATGCCACACCTTAAATTTCATTGACTTCCAGCAACTACGACAATATTTCTTCATTTCGCATTTCAAATCTGAGAGAATAAAATACAAAAGTGTAATTGAATTGGATTGATGGATTTGCTAATCATTACCACAATTATAATCACCTTTGATCTGAAACACTGCCACTGTAAGTCTAATGGTTCCACTATTAGTTGGATGGGCATGCAGAGAAAAACACCAATCAGCAGAATGCTTCATCATCTTGTTGGTGACTGGGGTACCGGAAAGTCTCTTCAATTTGAGAAACAGGAATGCAATCAGATGAGGGTGAGGGAAGAGATATTATGTGTGTTTCTGGCAAGATCAGGAGGGGAAATTCTATATTAATTAAGGAATTCCCCAAAATGAGTTGAATTGATGGCAGATTGAAGTCATGCACGAAATTACAGCTTTTTCTTGTTTTGTTTGTTTTAAGTGTGCCAACTAAATTGTACCCTTCTAATTTCTCAGCATATGAGCAGATAAAATATTAAATAAAAAAGTAACCATAAAAGGTCTGTTTTTAAAAAACTGGCAAGGCAGCAGCAAGCATTCAGAACATGTTGCTTTGTTTTTTTGTTTTTTATCAAAAAGTGTCTTACCTCTTCCCATTGGTGAATGTAGCGTATTAGACGAGAAAGGCGAAGCAGGCGCAGTAAGCTGAGAATCTTGGTGAAGCGGACGATCCGCAAGGCGCGTGCAGTCTTATAAAAATCTGAGTCTATGCGTGTTTCCACAATAAGAAATATATAGTCTACAGGAATGGAAGAGATAAAGTCCACAGCAAACCAGCTCTTCAGGTATTTGACCTTGATCTCTTGTGGATCGAGGATGATTTCTGTATTATCCTCTTTGACAATACCAGTCCTGAAGTTCAGAACTAGGTCCATAAGGAAGAAAGTGTCTGAGACAACATTGAAGACTATCCAGGGAGGCGTGTGCTCGTCCTTAAAGAATGTGATGCCCACTGGGATGATGATCAGGTTGCCCACCATCAGCAGCAGCATGGTTAAATCCCAGTAAAACCTGCAGACAGCACAAAGAGAAGGACCCATCAGTAACAAACATCTTGAGACATATCTTACCTATTCAGTGAAACAGTATTTGTTGATTGGTTGGATTTCTTTGAATTTTTTTTATTTGCATTCGACCGCAAATAATATGAATTTTGTATGATATTAGCTGATGAGGAAATAGTCACCAAAAAATGGGTCCGTATTTTCAAAAATTGTGTTTGGCTAGAATAGCATAACTGAAAGGTCAGTGGGTTAACTGTTAATTACCAACTGTTTGTGGACCTCTTCTACCTTCCAAATCAAAGAGTTAAAAATGACCCTCACTAGCTCAGTAATCAAATCCAGATTGGCTCTTCTGTGTTCGGTATCCTGGATACAACATAGATTGGTTCATAAAAGGCCAGTGTGGGTGCGTGTGTGTGTGTCTGCTTGAGTATGACGCAAGTGGAATAAAGATCTTTGTAAATGAGATAAACATGTAAATGTGTAAGAAAATGTTTTCATACTATAAATAATTTTGACTTTTAACAGACAGTATACATTCAAGTTAGGGTTTTGATGCCAGACTGATTGAAATATTGTAAATTGCATTTGCAATACAAAAAATAGTTACTGATCAAATGCCATGTTTTTAAATTCAATTTGAAAAAGCCTCTTAAATATTGGACCTAGTAGTGTGAGTTTTTTATTCAGGTCAAATTGAAAATGTGATTCAGAATATCAGTTGGAATTTCCTGGCTGAATAAAGGTCAATAAATAAATAAACAGAAGTGTCATATTTTGTTTTCTCACAATATGAACTGTGTGGTTTTAGTACAACACTTCATTTCAGAATTTGTTATATAGCGCACACATTCTCTATTGTGTGTGCTGTGCAAGAAGTATTATCATTTATTATTATTTCACTTCTTCCCTTTGGTTTTGGAATGCCTCCTGCTGGAGGTTTCTATGTCTAAACATAGCATGCATCCATTTACTGTGTTTAGGTATGCAGCAGTTCTCTGACTGAACATTGTTCTAAAAATATACAGTGGAGTGAATGTGGTATCTTAAAAGATACTCTGTCTATTTGTTCCTGTAGTCTCTGAGTCATATTTATGAGTTAAAAAGAATTTGTAAAGAATATTGGATAAGAGAGCCTTTATTGGTCCCACAACGGGGAATTTTCAGTGGTGCACATTACAGAACAGCAGGAATAAAGACAATCTGATGAAAGAGTCTTTCTTTAAAAATATTCCCTTAAATATAAACGTATAATTGCAATTGGGAAAAAGAATATTTATTTATTTTTAAAGTAAGGATGCCGTCAGGCTGAAGAACGAGTGCTATCGAGCCATGATGGTTCGTGGGACTCATGATGCAGCTGTCCAGTATTGGCAGGCCGAGCGCGCCGCAGACTATCGGTCGGCCTCGAAGAGATTCTGGAAAACCGTCCAGTGCCTCAAGAGGGGGAAGCAGTTCTTTGCCAACTCCGTGTACAGTGCGGGTGGAGAGCTGCTGACCTCGACTGGGGATACTGTCGAGCGGTGGAAGGAATACTTTGAGGTTCTCCTCAATCCCCCCTGTCACGTCCTCCATTCCGGACGCAGAGGCTGAGGATGTTGGGGCAGAAACCTCCATCTCCCTGGCCGAAGTCACCAAGGTGGTTGGCAGCCTCCTTGGTGGCAAAGCTCCGGGAGTGGATGAGATCCGTCCTGACTATCTAAAGCAGGGGTGTCCAAACCGGTCCAGAAAGGGCCGCTGTGGCTGCAGGTTTTCTATCAGACCCAACAGGAGCACCCCTGATCTAAAGTCTCTGGATGTTGTAGGACTGTCTTGGCTGACATCGCGTGGCGCTCGAGGGCAGTACCAATGGAGTGGCAGACCGGGGTGGTGGTCCCTCTCTACAAAAAGGGGGACCGGAGGGTGTGTTTTAATTATTGTGGGATCACACTCCTCAGCCTCCCTGGTAAGGTCTACTACAAGTTACTGGAAAGGAGACTTTGACCGATGGTCAAATCTCGGATCCAGGATGAGCAGTGTGGTTTTTGTCCCGGCCGCGGAACACTCGCGGAATACTCTCCATTGGATGCTCGAGGATTCATGGGAGTTCGCCCAACCAGTCCACATGAGCTTTGTGGATTTGGAGAAGGTGTTCAACCGTGTTCCCCGGGGTGTCCTTTGCGGGGTTCTCCGGGAGTACGGGGTCCGGGGTCATTTATTGAGGGCCGTTCGGTCCCTGTACGACCGGAGCCAGAGCTGCGTTCGCATTGCCGGCAGTAAGTCAAACCTGTTCCCGGTGCATGTTGGCCTCCGCCAAGGCTGCCCCCTGCCCTTTCACCGGTTCTGTTCACTGTCTTTATGGACAGAATTTCTAGGTGCAGCCAGGGGTCGGAGTGGGTTCGGTTTTGAGACCACAGGATTTAATCTCTGCTGTTGGCTCCAACAAACCAGAACTTGCAACATGTATTTTGACGCTTTGCAGCCGTGTGTGAAACGGCGGGGATGAGAATCAGCACCTCCAAATCCCAGGCCAGGGTGCTCGACCGGAAAAAGGTGCCTTGCCCTCTCCAGGTAGGTTTTCTTCCTCAAGTGGAGGAGTTCAAGTTTCTCGGGGTCTTGTTCACGAGTGAGGGAAGGATGGAGCAAGAGATTGACAGGCGGATCGGTGCAGCGTGCGCAGTGATGCGGTCGCTATGTTGACTATGTCTCTCAGCCGGCCTGGGAACGCCTTGGGGTCCCCCCGGACGAGCTGGAGGAAGTGTGTGTGGATAGGGAAGTATGGGCGTCTCTGCTTAGACTGCTGCCCCCGTGACCTGGCAACGCATGAAGCGGAAGAAAATGGATGGATGGATGGGGAAAAAAAACAGTACCGTGTGAAAATAGTAGACCAGACTAGCTCAATGAAGGGAAGTGCTCATGGACAAAGTTTTGAGTTGTGAGTAACACACATAGAGACAGTCAAGTTTGGGACAAATAAAGTAGACTGAATCTGAATCTTAATCTTAAGGACATCCAGAAACTATGAATCCACTCTTGAGAAATCAAATAACAGAATTCTTAGACCCCCTCAAACATTCCATCAATAAACTAAACTAATACATTCTTACAGCGATGCTCCTAGTCGAACAGAGTCAGGAGAAAGATTGTGTATTCTATGTAAACACTGTACCAAGAGTATACAAATGCTTTACTGCATTTGTATACTCTTGGTACAGTGTTTACATAGAATACAAAAGTCTTGTAAAAGTTAATTGTTGTAAATACATCAGACCACAACAAGCTGCCTTTCTTTGAATAGAAAACATAGATATTGTTGCATACTTGTAAGAAAGTGTCTCATGAGTTACTATTTGATGCTTTGGGTTAAAAGCTAATTGGTAGACTTTTAGGTCTGAAATGTTGATCCATAGATGTGACAGAGGCCAAAAAAACATCAGTAAGTGATAAAAAATTAAACAGTTTTTATATGGATTCCACTACATAGTTAAATATTTAGTGGAATATGCAGTGTCATTAAGTTACAGTATGTGCACAATTCCTTAATCCAACATATCAGTGTTTAAAACTCAAGCTATCAATTTAAAGGCTGTTTGAAGGCCTGAGGACTACAGTCTATAAGTAATGCTTCATACCATTTATAGTAATAAACCATATAATCAGTGTATATGTGTGGCACTGTCACAAAAACAAGCAAACAGTGGTTTGTATCACCTTTTTTTTTTCCAGCACTGCATACCGTACACCTGTATTCAAATAGTCAGGTGATAAAAAGAATGCATGCTTACAACACATGCTGAAAATAAATCAGGAATCTCCCGTGTGGAGAAAGAGAAAGACCGATCTGTCACTCACTGCGCCGTGTCTTATAATCCTGCCATTTGTCTGAGTCCTCTAGACACCCAGCATGGTGCTGGACCAGGCCAAACACATTGATCCAGGGAAGTCATTCCTGTGAATCATGGCAGCCACACACAGAGTTCTACAGCATGTTGGAGTGGGGTCTCTTTGAGTAGGAACCCTGCTGTGATTTCCTATACATTTTGTTGAGGGAATTGCAGAGAGGTCCGGTAGGAAACTGCCAACCTCCGGCTTTGTCTGTTCTGTACAAACTGTAGCAGAGAATTAATTTAATTAATAATTATTAAAAAGAAAATTATTTTATGTTTGTGTTTGGAGATGTGGGAGCACACATTCATCTTTCAAAGTATCCGTCTCATAAAATGGGTTGCATGCAGAGGACACAGTCATGATTTTACCTGAAAAAAAAGAATTGTAAACCCCCCTCAGAACCAACTGCATGGTCTACTGAAGTATCATCCAGAAATCTACTGGAAGATGTGAATATCGTGTAAGGTAATAAAATACACTGCCCCCGCGATGACCCAGGCAAGCCGGCCAAGCTGCGGGGTTGTGTGTGAGATAACAAAAACACACGGCTCGGAACATCTAAGGCGATGGAGGTCGGATAGAGCACCACAATGGCTCACATAGATACAGCAGTCATCTCAAAGACAGTGATCGTCCCCAGAGCACACCTCTGGCTCCCACCCCCGGCGAGTTCAAAGGGGGCCAGTGGGTCTGCATCGCCTCAAACAAAGCCATAGACATCACCCATGGGCCGGCGATCCGGCAACGGCGTTCCACCACCCCCCCCAGTGGACACGGGACGCCAATACACCTGAGACGGACAACTGAAACCACGGATGAATATGTTGTTTTGCTAACATCTTAAATCAGAAAACGTGTGTACCATTGTCTGTGAACAAGGTGTGTTGTGTGTCTATGTCTAAGTAACGTGTATGTGGTTAAAACTATGATTTCATGAAAGGAGTTCTGGAGGCGAGGAAAGTTGACGTCATAAGACACGTCCCCAGGGCCGGAACAAAAACAGAGACAACAGAGATCCCTGTGAACAAAGACAATCCCCATTCACCTCATTCTCCGTCTTCGGGCCAAATACTCGTCTCATATTTACACCAACAACACATTTTCTCCAAGTTGACATGAGGCTAACACAAAAAAGCACAGACGCGTATTTACTGTCTATGGACGACACGCTGGAGAGAGAAGCTGCATGGACTGACCATAGATGGCGCTGATTCGTTGGTTCAGTTTCTCCCCGCAGTCAATCACTTGGAGGTGGGCTTTTGACGTCACAGATTGGTGCAAATCACAATTTTATGGTGCTTTCAGACCGGCAACGCTGAAACGCTGAAGCCCCGCTCACCAGACGCGCATTCTCTAGTTTTCAGACGCAGGGGTCTTCACACTAGAACGTCCTGACGCGCACCGGAAGTACCAGAAGTAGCCGCGGCCTGCTCTAATTCTAACAGAGCTATGCTAGCGGCTTCTTGTGTACAGATCTTCTCCAATAGATAGATAGATAGATAGATAGATAGATACTTTATTGATCCCCCGAAGGAGAAATTCAGGTGTCCAGTAGTAGCAAAAAAAAAAAAAAAAATTGATCATTCTAAAAAATAAAAAAATAAAAATAAAAATAACAATAGTAATAATCAGCCACAGCCCTTCAGGTCACAGCAGCAGAGATGGAGCAGCCTCTGGGTGGAGCAGGACGGGTCAAAGCAGCATAGATGGAGTAGTCTCTGAGTGGAGCAGGACGGGTCACAGCAGCAGAGGTGGAGTAGCCTCTGGGTAGAGCAGGACAGGTCAAAAGATGGAGTAGCCGCTTGGTTTGGACCATTTTCTCTGCTCTAGTCCAAAGTAAAATGCTAAATGCTTCATTAGCATTTTTCAAAAAGTTAGCATTCCTCCAGTGGATTTTCACCTGATCCACATGGTTTGGACCATGAATCCTCTCTGCTCCGGTCTGGACCAGTGCAAAACTTTGCACACTGTACTGAAGCAACATCTCAGGCAGAAAAAGCAATAAAAATAAAAATTGTAAAGCACAAAACAACAACTGTTAATCAGAGCTACTAAGGACTTGCAGCCGTTACCCAGCGCATCTTTCAAAAAATAAAAATAATAATAATAATGCAATATGCAGCTTTGCAGCGTGTCTTTGCTCACAGACCTTCCACGGGCTTTATACAACAGTAGTATGTGTTCACGGAGGTGCGCCATACGTTTTTTTGTATTATTAAACGGTATTTCCGCATCGGCGAACACACTCGAAGCAGTTGCATAAAGTCACGGGAGCATGACAACGCATATATTCACAAGCACACAGTCCCCCATTGTCAACCCTGGTTTAGTCCTGGTATAGCTCCTGTTTTGGCTGTTTACAGTATGTTCAGTCTGCTTGCTCAGACCACCAATGTCCCCGTGACCAGCGACCCGTGATTGGTCGCTGCACGAACGTCCCGAGGAAAAGTTGAGCAAAGTTTATCTCCTGTGGGCGTCCTTTTTCCGCTCCTGCTCCTCCCCTTTCACTTTCCCGACAAGTCCGTGCGGCTCTACTCAGCGGTCCGTATAAGTGCGTGCCGAGTGGTTGGTGAGTTTTGACGCTGCAACGCGCATCACCATAGACTTTGCATTGAAACCCGACGCAACGCATGATCTGGTCTGAACGCGCCATGAGGCACACGTGTGCACTAATCATGGGAGGTGGGATGTTTTATCTCAGCAAAGCAGAAGTGCTCACTATCACACATCTTGACAGATTTGTGAACAATGTTTGAGAGAAATTGTGTCTATGGAATGAATTTTTAGATCTTTAAGTCCATCTCATGGAAAATGGGAGCAAAAATAAAAGTGTTGCGTTTATATTTTTGTTGAATGTAGTTTGAACAAGCCCTGGGTCTCTTGCCGCATGTTAGCTTGGGCTAGTTCTGGTCCTCCATGATTCCAACAAGAGGAACATTATTCTGAAAAATGAGTGCACTCTAATTAGAGCAAGATAAGTTTGGATCTGAAATTGAAATTCTTTTGAAATCAATGGATTTTAAAAGAAAAAAAAAAAGAGTTTAGGATTATAAAGAAGATTAAAATACACACAAACTTCTTTGTGAAAGCCGTAGGGTTCTTTTCAGCTGAGAAAACAGAGTTTTTTGTAGGTGTTACTGTCTATGATAAATGTATTGATGTGGCCCATGAGAATTTAGAATGCAGTACAGCGGGTGCCACGTAATACAGGAGTGGAGCTCAATCTTGTAATATGTCATCGCAATAGTATAATAGATCCATGCATTACATCTACATTTATTTGCAATTATGGCCCAAACGTCTGTATAGCTATAGAGAAAAAAATAGATTATCTCATTCAACTCTGTCAAATGTGAATCAATATGCACATATCATACCTCATTTTAAAGTTGAAATCAAGTCCAAAGAGTTTGATAATCCAACCCTGTGAATAATGTTTGTGAACTAAAGTGGCCCTCTCGCTAAAAGGCAGCACAACATTACATTTGTTTAGACTCAAATAAATTAACAATATAGCATCCAACACAGGATCCTTCCAAATGCATATTACATCCATTCAATAATGGAACCTAAAGATCACATCAAGGTTAAACGAGCGGTTTGCGTGCCAAAGCTGAATGAAATGAATGACAACGGTCTTCTCCCAGATTCAGATCATGTGCCTATTTTACACTGTGAACCACACACCCACAGGCATCTTCCCTGGGCTTTCTCCATTAAATAAATTGTGCTATATAATCATCTGCTGTCATCTAACATTTGTGGTTGGGCACTGCCTATTTTCATTATCCCACTTTCAGGTGGGACTAGCATTTAGTAATCTCCTTGTGTATGTGCTATAGTGAATAAAAGCATCAATAATTTGTGCATAATACATACAATGGCATAATTGCCAAATCAGGCTTTTATTTGAAAACCTAATTTAAAAAAAACTTGTCATATAATTGAAGACTATATTTCTTTCACTATTGCACCTCAGGAGTATGCATGAAAAAGAAAGCTCACTATTTTAGTTATGTTAAAAGCCCCAGGACATGGAAAAAAAAATTGTGCGTAAGGTGGTTTATCTTACAAAAATACTGAACACTATCACTCAGCTAAATAATATAAATATATCTTTTGTTAATCTGTTTAACAAAAGAAAACCCATTATGAAAACTTTCTTAAAAAGCCCATGATAATTAAGTGGTTTATTCTTCAGCTTAATCATTTATTCCTGGTTTACGACACGCTTCTTCAGTCTAACACTTTAAAGGTGCCATATTTAGCTTTTCTTAATTTTTCACAGTCCATCCTATGCACAAAAAGCGTAATATGGCACTATTAATTAATACCCAACAGGTCTGGCCTAGTTTCACAACGTTTTCAGGGTATTGCTAACATTCATTGGACGACATTATACTGAGCTAACTCCGTGTTTTACAGAAAAAGTTTCTGAAATTATAAGCGTTTTGTCTTCGTGAGGATATAGTCAAATATCAGGAACTACTGCCACAAACATGTATGGTATGCAAAAGTATACTACCAGTTTTTAAGATTTTGCTATAAAAAATTGGCTTTATTGTTAAAATAAATATATAGATAGATACAATTCACGAGGTGAAGTTAGCGCTGGGAGGTCAGTCGGGTCACAGCAGCAGAGGTGGAGTAACCGCGGGTGGGGAGGTAGGACAGGTCACAAGTGGCGTAGCCTCTGGGTTCGGACCATTTTTCTGCTCTAGGTCCACAGTAAAATGCTAAATGGTTCATTAAGCCATTATTCAAAAGTTAGGCCTTTCCTCAGTGGCTTTTCACATGATCCGCTTGGGTTTTGACCATACATCCTCTCTGTCTCCGGTCTGGACGTGCAGAGACCAAACAGTGTTATTTGAGAGTGAAAAGTTTTTTTTTAAAACAAATTAGGCATGTGCATAAATTTTGCTCCTCACAAGAAGAAAAAATTAGATCAATATTTTGTGCATCCTCCTTTGTGCAGAAATAACTTTTGCATACCACTGTAACTTTGCTCCTGCAACTGCAAAAGCTCACCACTGGTCCTGCAACTGTATGATTTGATTGTCCCTACATTTTCGCGGTTGCGACGGTTACAGGAGAAAGCATTTTATCCTTTCAGAACTGGTTTCCCCATATTATTTACTCATATATTGACTAAATACTAAAACAGCAAAATGATTGCGTTCTTTAACCATGAAGGGGAGAGGACGTACCACATATTCCAAAGTGGTGTCACCACTGCTGCATAATTCCAAAACTTTTGTCCTGTTGTTGGCTGCGCGGCTTGATTTTAGTAAAACCTCATCACCATTAAAAAGACAACTCTAAGCTAATTCCAAAGATCTTATTTATTTTATATTGGAAGACTGCCTTGCGGTGGGGCTGTCTGTGTGGGTTTGGCTTGGGTTCATGTGGGAGAGACTGTGTCCCTTTTCTTCCCCCCGTATCCCATTTGTGGGTTCGGGGGGAGCACCAGCCCTTCACTGAACCTCCCGCAGGAGGGAGTCCACAGAGGATGGCTGCTCTGTCAGTGGATGCTCTTTCAGCAGGGGCTTTAGGCAAAGTGGGTAAAATGTCTTGCCCAAAAAACAAACAATGGCATGGCAAGACAATGACAGCAGCCATAGTGGGAGTCGATGGAGAAGCTCTTGCGAGATTGAACCCACCCAAAGTTCAGGCTCAGAGGCCAAATGTACCCCTTTCTCCGACCTGGTCTGTGAAATGCACTAATGAAAAACTTACTTACAACTAAAAACGTTGCTTTGATGTTTGCCTCCGAAAATTTCAAATCTATTTCTCAATATTGTATTAGATAATGATTCATAAATAAAATGGGCAAGGAGCTCCAGGACCGGGTACAAGGCCTAGACTCAGAGCTGCTGCAGACCCACACAGAGCTGCAGATGGAAAGGAGCGAGAAGAGTCACATGAGCCATACCATTCAGCAGCTGCAAGGTCAGTCAGAGGCTCAGCCAGGGTGGTCTCTGGGTGGTCTCTGGGTGGTCTCTGGGTGGTCTCTGGGTGGTCTCTGGGTGCTCTCTGGGTGCTCTCTGGGTGCTCTCTGGGTGCTCTCTGGGTGCTCTCAGGGTGCAGCGTATCAAACTCATTACTCACTTTTTCTCCACTGAGTTAGGGTTTGGGTTCCTCTGCGTTGCAGGAGGGTCTAAGGACAGTGATTCAGGACGTTTAAAGATTTTTTGATAGATGGACATATAGATACATAGAGACATTATTGATCCCCGTAGGAGAAATTCAAAAACACATCCATCAATACAAAAAAAACAAATAAATTGATAATTCTAAAAGTAGCGAACAATAGTAGTAATAAGCAACGGCACTTTAGGTCACAGCAGCAGAGGTGGTGTAGCCGCTTGGTTCGGACTATTTTCTCTGCTCTGGTCCAAAGTAAAATGAGGAATGCTTCTATGCTATTATGTAATCTCTGTGTTTTGACACAGAGATTACATCCGCGACAAATCTCTATCTGCGAGCAACACTAAAGACTGCTTCCATAACTACTGTTACCATGAAATTCTAACGAGGCGGCTAGCTCTGTATGACAGTGGCTCAGTTGGTAGAGCATTGGCGTTTGAGCCATAGACTGTATATATTAACGGACAGAGTCACGCCTATCTCCGCCGTTCTAACTAATGGGCCAAAAAATGTGCTCTACTGGAGCAATCCAAAATGGCCACGAGTGGTCCCGCCCACAAGAAAATAGTGAAAAAACGCATCTGCGCATGCGTCAGCCGGCGCAGCTCCATTCATTTGAACGAGTGACTTCAAAAATTCACAGCAAGTAAACTAGAGTGGACCAAAAAAATCCACCCCCCTCAGCATTGACACACATGTGGAACGGAGCTTTGGGCCAAGAGCCAACTTTTGGTCCATCCTGTAAAGACTTTTTTGAGAGGTCTGCCAATGCTATATGTTAGCATTGGCTAATTCTTCTTCTGGGTCCACCCCCATCGGCCTGGGGTGGTATTGCAGCATGTCAGCGCACGTCATTATGGCTACTTTTGAGCCGGGACCCTCCCCCACTGGTTCGAGCCCACCGCTAGAACTTCTCCACCGACTCCACTGATGTCTCATACACTGGCTATCAACCAAGGGAGGCATTTTTATCACTAATGGAAATACAAGACTGCAGTGAACAAACTAGAACTAATGAACAAAGTAGTTTTCAGACCAAAACCATGAAAAAGAGTAAAATGGTGACTCACAAGGCTCTTTCTTACAAGTATGCAAATGATAACATGTTTTCTAATAATATATTGTGATCTGATTTGTTCGCTTTGTACCTTTACAAGGCTCGTCTGTTGCGACAAAAAACATGTATTATTCATGAATATAAAATCTTGGTACCTCAGAGTTAAACTTGAGCACACTTTACATGTTTGGTGCAGTCATCTCTCTAAATACTTGCAGTTTAGTCCTGCCTCTTTTTAATAAGAAACTGTATGTGCACGGCCTTTTATTCGAAGCCAACACAAATAACTTTCAATAATAATAATTTCAGTCAAATAAAATTGGATCTCTGTATCTTAAAACTGCTCTTGGGCCTGAGTGAAGGGAACGGTGCTCACGGTGTAAACATGTTTGTGTAAAATGTTGACGCGGTGACATCATGGTAGAGCTGAAGCCGGTGTTTGGAGCAGCCCTGGAGGAAACAGCAGCTCATAGGGGGACTGAGGAGTGGGCCTCGGGGCGGGGTGGAAAAGTGCGACTCAGACGGGCCTTTGTCACATTGGTGCCTGAAGGTGGCGCCGTGGCGGGGACTACGGATGGAAAATAACATGATGCTAGATCTGGTGTAGTCGTCTTTTTAATGTAACTACACTGTCCCTTAAATAAACAAACTTCATTCATTCATACAGGACTGTACTCATGCTGAAAATATCTAAACACATGACACACATTCCACACATGGCATGAGCATGATACAAACGTAACTTTAAAGGGAGTAACACGCTCAAACAGTGTATGTATTTCATTTAAAATTCATAACGAGAGACTGACGGATTAACGTTTTAAACCTGGTATTCTCTGTGACTCTCCAAACATTATGGAAAATGTTGCCAAAGCAAAAAAGGCTCAAAGGCCAATGCTCTTCCAACTGAGCCACTGTCGCCTCGAACCAAACAATAAACTCACAGCTCTAACCATTGCCAAGAAAACTATTCTCACATGGAAAACTTGAAACATCCGTATCAAACACTGAAAAAACCTCCTAAAACACTTAATTTCAGTGTTTTAGGACTCTAGCAGCAGCTAGAGTCCTGACAGGAACCAGGAAGTATGACCATATTAGTCCGGTCCTCAGGTCTCTGCACTGGCTTCCTGTGGCTCAAAGAATAGATTTTAAAACGGCTCTGCTTGTGTACAAGTCTCTCCATGGCCTTGCACCAGAATACATTAGTGACATGTTGGTGTCATATGAACCGGCCCGGACTCTGAGGAGCACAGGGACTGGCCTCCTGCTGGTGCCCAGAGTGAGAACCAAACATGGGGAGGCTGCGTTTCAGATCCATGCAGCTAAGATCTGGAACAATCTCCCTGAAAATGTGAGGGAGGCGTCTACTCTGTCAATGTTCAAATCCAGGTTAAAGACTGTTCTGTTTGCCTGTGCATATAACTGAAGGATTTTATCTCCATTTTTAATGCACTGCTGTCATTTATTTATTTTTTTAAATTTCTTGTGTAATTTTGAAAGTTTTAATGGTTTTATTCTTTTGTGTGATTTTAATGTTTTAATTGTGTTTTAATCTTTTGTGTGATTTTAATGTTTTAATTGTGATTCTGGTGTTTGTTTTATGTGATGATTTGTGATGTGGACTGTGAAGCGCTTTGTGTTGCCCTGTGTATGAAAGGCGCTCTACAAATAAACTTTGATTGATTGATTGATTGATAATTTCAATAGAATATTCAACGCCTCCGTACAATGACACCGCAGAACCGGAACCATCTTTTCAAACCAGCTCTTTCTGACCTCACACTGCTTTAACCACTAAACCCCTCGTTTTATTCTTTTTATTATTATATTTTTTTCTCTTTTTCTTTCCTCTTTCTTACTTTCTTCATTGTCTCTAAATTTAATGTATGTTATCAAACTTTTACCCTTCTTTCTTCTTGAAATGACATTTTCTCATGATTATTCACAATAGATGATTTTATTGTTATTGCACATTTAATTCTTTGCTCACTAAAACTTTATGTGACATTCTGAACTCAAGACCAAAATCCAGTGTCCATTTAGGGATTGTTCTAGAAAAGTGGCCTTTTGAAGATTGAAAACAGGAACAGGTGTGCGTTTTTCATGAAGAACAAAGTTGTGTTGTGTGTTTGAACTGTTTGTGTTGTGCAGGTCGGTGTTCAGGGCTGGAGGAGGAGCTGAAGGAGGTGAAGGTCTGCGTCTCCACAGCCTGGAGCGAGAAAAAGCAGCTGCAGGAGAAACTCAACCATCTGGAGAAGGTCCGTCTCCTGTCTCCTCTCTCCCCTCTCCTCTCTGCTCTCTCCTCTCTCCTCACTCCTTTCTCCCCTCTCCTCTCTTCCTTCTCCTCTCTCCTCTCTCCTTTCTCCCCTCTCCTCTCTTCCTTCTCCTCTCTCCTTTCTCCCCTCTCTCTTCCTTCTCCCCTCTCCTCACTCCTCTCTCCTCCTCCTCCTCTCCTCTCTCCTGACTCCTCACACGTCACTTCACCAGCTCAACACTGTGCATTAGAGACGGCAACATGTTAAAAGGCACTAATAAAAGGCAGTCCTATTTTAGGCTGCATGAACACATGAAGTCACCTTTCCCATTCAGGACTATAGTGATAATTATTAATTATCTGCACTTTTGGATAATCTTGCCCATCACTAAGAGTAATAAGGAGAAAACATGAAGAGCTGTGTGGTTTCTGTCCTAACTGACTCCACTTGGGCCCGTCCCACACAGGAGAAGAGTAACCAGGAGATTGAGCTGACCTTTCAGCTGAAGCAGCTCACCCAGAGCCTGGAGCTGGAGGAAGCAGATCACCGAGCCACCAAAGCCAAACTGGACGACACGAGTCTGCAGGAGGCCACCAGCCAGGCACAGAGGGGTGAGACCGGCCCGCATTCACTTTGTGCTTTCTACAGCTCACGTAATAAATCAATGGAAAGATTTGCAAGATTTTGTCAAATTATGAAAATATTTTTTACTGTGAGAAGACTCGGACTAACTAGGGTTAGGGTTAGTGAAGACACATGCTTGTGTCTGTATGGTATAAGGCTGAAGAAACAAACTCCATATTCAGGTCAAATGACAACATTTAGCTCAGGACTCATGACAGCGATCGCAAACCCTGCCTCGGCGTCTCGCTAGGCTAGGATCAAGTAAACCCTGACTTGATCCTGTGATAAACTGCTGTTTTTCCCAGAGAAAGAACATTGTGTTGAGCCAACTTGTTAGTGAAACAACACCTTCCAAGTTTCCACTATGTCGAGGACAGCACAATATTTACAGTGCAACTGCAGCCAGTCCACTTGGATAAGAAAACTATCCAATCAGAGCGCAGTTGCCACAAGGCTCTGCCGAAGAATAACTCTTGGTAAAATGTAAACAATAGCTGTAAAAACAATAGATCTTCTTTCTTGGCCCAAAGTTTGTTGTCTAATGAAGTATGATTGGCCTTAAATAGGACCCAGGAGAGTCTACAGCAGCTGGACCTGGGTCTGGGGCGTGAACGTTCATGATGAGGCTGTGTTGTTCACCACAGAGCTGGAGCGGACTCTTCAAGAGGAGCGAGCTGTCAAGGCTCAGCTGGAGACACGGCTGTTGCAGAAGGAGAAGGACCACTCCATGTTGGACTGTGACTTCAAACAGGCCACACTCAGACTGGAGGAGCTGGGAGCACAGAAAGACAAACTATCTGAAGAGGTGAGCTCTCTCTCTATTTAAAGCAAGGGATTATAGTAATGCGTCCAACTAAAGTACAGAGAGTTTAGGACAATTTGGATCTGAAAACTTTGAGAAATAAAGCCCCAGTTGTGGGGCCATAATAGAAGATTCACTAGGGTGAATAGTGTCGTTGATAATTTAATGATAAGTAATTCTAATCTCACAAACGATAGTTCTAAATGGACCCCTCATGACCACCACAGATGGTTTGATGGATTTTGGTCTAAAGTTCAAAATCCTATGATTATGGCATAATTTCACTTTGTATGGGTATGAAGTCAATCATTTCAAGCTGAAGGTGTAAATTCTTGTGCACATCGATTCTTGTAAAATCCATAATTTCTGGAGGTAAATAAGCACAAATATCGCTTTCAGACAAACATGGTTTTGTAAATTGAATGCAAAATAGACGGTACAGATTCAATGTGATATATACAAATTGTAGAAAATAACATGAAGAAAATGCTGATGACAAGATACATGTTAAATCAGGCTTAAGTTAGGCTGAAATCTCTGGATGGTTAGGTCAAGACCCAAATGGAGCAGGGTTTATGGTCTTAGTCTGTAACTCTGTGTCTTAGATTAAATTGTAAAGTTTTAAACTGTGTAGAGCAGAGTGTATCATACAACCAGAATGTGTCCTTTTTGGCTGTTGATGGAGTCCAGCAGTCTTTGTGGACCATGTGGCTGGATCAGGTCACATAATAGTCCAACATGTAGATGTCACGGCCAGCATCGCTCCATTCTGAAGTTAGAGGTTATGGTCGAGTTGTTGTAGTCCTCTCAGCCTGAGGTCTGTAATTCTTTTAATAAGGTAAAGGACAAAGTGTTTATCTTGGACACCGGAATTTCTCCTAAGGGGTAATCAATAAAGTATCTACCCAACTCTCCACTACAACCAATCAAATAGTTGCAAAGTCACCAATTATGATACATTTACATTGTTGGCAAATCTTCTAGTGATGTATCTGTTTTGTGAAGTTTCTGAGGAGAATGTGACTCATGGTGTTGTGTACTTGTTGTGTACCTGTTGTGTACCTGCAGGTGAAGTCCCTGGCCTCTCGTCTGGAGCAGGAGACCCACAGCCTCTCTCTGTCCCAGGCTGAGCTGAAGATGCAGCAGCAGCAGGTCAGCGTGCTCAGCTCCTCGGAGAAGCAGCTCAAACAGGACCTCAACCACCTGCTGGAGCTCAAGAGCGCCCTCGACAGGAGCACACAGGAACTGCGACGGTAGGGCTTAGAAGAGTGAAGTGGGCTTTTGATGGAGTAGATCAGGAGGGTCTCTGTGATGGGTTCTTTTTCACATACAGATGGCTGGGTCGGAAAGAGCGTTTTAAGAGGTTTTGAATTAAAATCTCTCAGTAGAAAAACAGTGGGAAATGTACAAAAACGAATTTACAGAGCACAGTGAAAAGTCTACAGGCGAGAAGGATATCTACAAATAAAAATATACGCAACTTCTAGAATAAGTCTCTTTTCCCTCGGCTTTCTCTCTCGCTCCTGCAGCCCACATTACCTTCTCTGTAATGAGTCACCACCGCCATGGGGCAGACAAGCACACCTTAAGTACCCCGCTTGCCCCTCCCACATTACATTAATAATAACAATCATCCTGCTTTACACCATATCTCCACTTCATGCGTATTTTCCATTCGGTTCATGATTACAGTTTACAGTTACACATTGACACATTTCCAACAAATACACTATGAGCTACACATTACAAAGATTCCAAATGTTTATGCAAATGAGCAGTGCATTTCATCCGCTGGCAAAGTATGTCCGGGTTTCTGACTGTCTCACCCCGTCACAGTCTGATTATGTTTGTTGTATGATTATTGTCTGTTGTAGACGGATAGACTCATAATATTTACTCATGACGCTTTGAATTTAGAATGAAATAAATAATGCAGCCGTTTTCTTGAGGAAAATTAACTTTAAAATGCAATATAACCTAAACTATGACCTCCCTTAACGAACTTTTACTATCAATGCTTGTGGGTAATGATGATAACCGGAAATCTTTTCATTTAGGTTTGGCCCTCTGTCTGCAAACGTTTGTTGCACTGCAAAGAAGCTGCCTGGAACCTATTTTGACTGATTAGACGGAGTCCGATAGCATGGTAGCAGGTGTTTTCTGTGTGTGAGGAGGCAGCCTTTCTTGTGACAAAAATCAGGCGTGCTCTGACACACAGTTTATTATTGTTCCGTGTTAATGGTGAGAAAAGCATATATATTGGAAAATACACAGCACACTCGGATAGATGTCCAAAAGATCTAGTATTTATTACGTTTCGGCCTTAGCCTTCGTCAGATCGTGAGATGGTGAGAAAAGCACCAGGGACGAGAGTCTAATGACCCGACTGTTGCTGAATCACGTGGAATGGTGCACTCTGTATGCTCAGAGCTGGACTTGGGGTAACTAACTTATGGAACACCTTTCAGCTAAAGGGATTCATAAACACACACACAATTCAAGATGGCCACAGTCAGTCAGTCAGAGTAGAAGCCTGCCTCACATTTTCAGAAAGACTGCTCCAAATGTTACCTGCATGTCTGAAAATACTGCCTCCCCGTGTTTAGTCTTGACTCTGGGCAGCAGCAGGAGGCCAGTCCCTGTGCTCCTCACTTACATGTCGCAGATGTGCGTTGGAGCAAGGTCGTGGAGAGACTGACTTTTTACTGTCAGACTGATCCTGATTTTTATTTACAAACGTGGAAGTTCTAAAAGTAAAAGTTAGAGACCTGAATGAACACAAATGAAGTAGACTGTGTTGGTGTTTGTTTGGTGGCAGGGAGAAGCAGGAGGCGGATGGGCTGCTGAAGGAGCTCAAGGACCAGCTGGAGGCAGAGACCTACTTCACTGTAAGTCCACAAACCTCATCATGGGTACACACCTATGCTTACAGCACCACACTGCAAATTACTAATTACTAATATAACTAGATGTGGGTATATACTGTAGGTATGAATAGTTATGAATGTATATGGGTATAATATAATATATATAATAGGTATGAATGTAAATGAGTGAGTGAATGCATGGTGTTGGAGCTGATGGTCCAGTGTGTTCGGCGACTCGCTTCTGTCATCACCGTGTGTTGAATGATTGGAACAATATCTGAACATTGTAAAGTGCTTTGGGTGACCTTGGTCTGTAAAATGCGCTATATAAATAAACATTACTTACTTACTTACTATTAATAAAATGGATTAAAATAGAAACTGATCCATTGACTGCTGAACTGATCTGATTCTACTAAAAAAAAAGTTTTTTATTGTGAAAATGTTTATGCAAAAATCCAGAGAAATGGGAGGGACTATACGGGAGGTGACAGACACTTTCCGAGCTTTGAAGCTGGAAATGTAAAGACAATGTTTTATTCTACGTCTCCTTCAAGGCCAACTTTACTGTAATGCACCATTGTGGTGCAGCAGACTGTGGGGCTTTGTTCAAAGACTATGTCCTGTTCTTCTGCAGACTCTGTACAAGACTCAGATTCGTGAACTGAAGGAGGAGCGGGAGGAGAGGAACCGTCTGTTTGAGGAGTTGCAGCGGAGGACCACACAGTACCAGGACGAGCGGTGAGCTGGGGTCCAAACACTGTCTGAACTGATGGCTCGTTTATAAAACATATTCCAATATTCCAAATTCAAGTCGTCCTAAACAGTTTATCAGAATGAATTAATTACATAGTTATTATTTTTCTGTCGTGAAGAAGATGGACTGCAGAGGGCGCTGACGTTCTACCTCTGGTGGAAGGAAACTGTTGTACGCATTACCTCTCAATGTTCTGTCTGAAGGGTTTTTTCTTGTGTTTCCCCAAAACCCAAGACAGGCTCCATATGAATATCTTTTAGCACAGATTCAAACAGACCTTACATCTGGAGATGTTTTTAAACTATATTTGGACAGCCATCTGGCAGGTGTTCCCAGACCAGCTGAGAGTCATGGGTCTCACCTTTGGTCTCTGAAACAGAGGCCTCCTCTCCTCTCTGAGCTCCTCTTGTGTGACTGAGGTCCTGATTCTCACTGAGGCCCAGCCATTCTGGAGCAAACACATTTGGACTGCCTCTGTCCTCCATTGTCCTTTGGATTCTTACCCAAAGAAACTTATATATATATAAATAACACACATTTGACCAACTACAATGTATGTAATTATCAGTGTCTTTGAGTGGGGAAGTGTGTGTGTAACCAGATTGTTCCTTGGGCTAATTTCCCGAAGTCGCATTCACAAACTCATTCCTCCTTAAATATTGGTCATGTTTTGTGACAGAGGAAACCATTCTGCACAATGGTCTGAAAGAAGCCAAAAGATCTCCATGTGAACCACAGGGTGAAAATAAGACTCTTCTGTGGTTCTCAAACTTCATAGAATGCCCAACATTTATTGGTCAGAGAAAGATGCCAGTGCCTTCCAGCGTGAAGTGCAAACACAGTTAAACATTCAAGCAGAGATTCATTTCTAATGTTCTAATGTCTCCTGTGCACAGGGAGTCTCTGGCGTCGCAGTTGGAGGCCAGTCTGACTAAAGCTGACTCTGAGCAGCTGGCTCGCTCCATCGCAGAGGAGCAGTACTCCGACCTGGAGAAGGAGAAGATCATGAAGGAGCTGGAGATCAAAGACATGATGGCCCGATATAAGCAGGAGCTGAGCGACAAGGAGCACACCATCAGTGCTGTGAGTGCAGCTGTGGACGGGAGCCTCTGATGCTAAAATGTTACCACACAAACACCTGCCCCCACTCCCTCTCTGTAAACACTTTGTTTTCAAACTCATTGCAATACTTTCAATCATCAGACAGACCCAGCACCATGGTTCAATGTAAACGCAGAAGCAGGATTGAAGAACAATCGTATTTGAAGAAGAATATTAAAGGATTTACTGAAAGAATAAGAAATGTCAGAATGACGCAGATACAGCAGTCCCCCGCCATCGTGACATTTCACTGTTGCCACAGGAATGGAAGAAGCAGAAACATCACATCTGCATTGTGCTTATAGAATTATTTATATTAGAGCTAGTAGGACACAAGATGGACATGTGATATACTGTATCTACGATATGAACACATGTGTGCGTGTGTGTTCACACCTGTCCATGTCCATGGACATGTGACATGTGACGGACATGTGACGGACATGTGAGGGACATGTGAGGGACATGTGACGGACATGTGACGGACATGTGAGGGACATGTGACGGACATGTGACGGACATGTGACGGACATGTGACGGACATGTGACGGACATGTGACGGACATGTGACGGACATGTGACGGACATGTGACGGACATGTGACGGACATGTGAGGGACATGTGAGGGACATGTGAGGGACATGTGACGGACATGTGACGGAAATCTGATGTTGTGTTGGTGTCTGTGCAGTTGGAGGAGTCAAACCGCAGACTGACCGAGGACGTGGCAAACCTGGCAGGAGAGAAAGAGGAGCTGAACGACCAGCTGAAAGAGCTGCATACGAGTGAGTAACAACAGACAATTTCAGCTGTGATGGTCAGACAGGACACTTCAGCTGCGATGGTCAAACATTTTTGTGGACTGTTCTCAAAGCTCTCAAATTCCTTCTGCGGGCTTCCCTCTCTATACTCACCTACTCAAACTCATCAGGGGGAACCCTGAGGCCACAAATCACCTCCCTATGGAGGCGTCTGAATGAGACTGGCCCCTTCTGAAGTAGAGAAGCAGCAGAGCTCACGGCATCATTCCTAAACCATGGCCTCTGATTTGGAGGTGCTGCTTCACACTGACCTCATCAACAAACTTGCATCCTGAATTGTCTCAAAATCCTGTCCAATGCAAGTTCTTTGTGGGTTTCTTGATTTTTAAATGCCCTTTTTATCACGTTTTTTTAGAACTGCAAAAGATGAAGGAGGCGGAGAAGTTGCACAGCGAGCTCAAAGTCTCGTATGAGAAACAGCTGCAAAACGAGAGGACACTGAAGATCCAGGTAGGATCCCTTCCCCTCCAACATGTCTCTAGATCAACATGGTTCTGTGTTCCTCCAGCAACATGTGCATGAAGACAGCATGGTCATTATTCGACCATGAATCACACACTGTATCCATCGAAAATCTGAATGAATTCATAACACTGTTCTGTAATGTGGCTTCAACACTGACATTTCCCCTCTGGTGGACACTAACTTCTTTTATCTTGTCTCAATGGAGACAAAGTGCACTTTGGAACAGTAAATGAACGATGAATGCTAAGTCTGAACAGGCTGACTCATGCTACTTATTTTAGAGCATCCCACACACAGTGGCAGACAAACTCCACATTTGACTTGGAGATCTTATTATCTGTAATATAGATGCCCAGTCGGTGGTGCCTCTGCTTCAGAGCAACAAGGTCCTGGGTTTGACTTTTGACGGAGCCTTTCTGTGTGGAGTTTGAATGTTCCCCGGGTCTGCTTAGGTTTCCTTTGCATGCTCCAGTTTCCTTTACCGCTGAAAGCATGTACAGTATAAATGTATTGAGGGAGTGAATGGTCAGGAGCTTTGATGCAGCTGTGTGTTTGACATCACACAGCTGCACACGCTTCTGTCAACACTGCGTTTGGACTGGATGGAATTTACTGACACATTACTGTAAAGCACTTTGTGTGACCATGGTCTGTGAAATGTGCTAAATGAATAAATATTGCTTACCATCTTGCAGCTTACTGCCATGCGAGGGTCTGCATAATATAGTGTATTCGGGAAGAACAGTGTGGTTTTTGTCGTAGCCCCGGAAGTGTGGACCAGATCTACAGTATATCTATATCTTCACTGAGTACACGAGGATCATGGGAGTTCACCGAACAAGGCTCCTTTGGGGGAGTTCTCTGGAGTACGGGTCCCTGGACCCTGGACCCTTTGCTGAGGGCCGGAACCTGTGTTGTTCTTAACTTCCCTAATTAGAGCTGCAAGATTAATTGCAATAAAATTGAAATTATATCACAATTTTAGTGGTTAGGAATAAAAAGTATATATAAGCATTTATATTTTGCCTCATTGCCTTGTTGTGTTTCTCCTTCCAAATGACAAATTGCTTGTCTTTAGAAATGTTCTGAAGTATGTTTGTTTGTGTGTGTGTGTGTGTGTGTGTGTGTGTGTGTGTGGGTGTGTGTGTGTGGGTGTGTGTGTGTGTGTGTGTGTGTGTGTGTGTGTGTGTGTGTGTGTGTGTGTGTGTGTGTGTGTGTGTGTGTGTGTGTGTGTGTGTGTGTGTGTGTGTGTGTGTGTGTGTGTGTGTGTGTGTCCGTATGTGTGTGTTTCCAGGCGGTGAATAAACTGGCAGAAGTGATGAACCGCAGAGAGACGGTGAGCCGGGGCCAGCGTGGCTCAGACACCACTGTTCACCGCAGAGAGAAGGAGAACCGCAAACTACAGCTGGAGCTCCGCGCTGAGAAAGAGAAACTCAACAGCACCATCATCAAGTACCAGCGAGAGCTGAACGACATGCAGGGGGTCGGTACCACACTGTGCACTCTGACAACGGTTAACATTCAGTACCATGTGTGTTTGTGAAACTGTTTTCAGGCCTTTTCACAGATTTACACTACCGTTCAAAAGTTTGGGGTCACATTGAAATGTCCTTATTTTTGAAGGAACTTTAACTTTAAACTAGTCTTAACTGTAAAGAAATACACACTATACATTGCTTATGTGGTAAATGACTATTCTAGCTGCAAATGTCTGGTTTTTGGTGCAATGTTGTAATTGCTACAAATGGAGGATTCTTTGACGCAAAGTTGGATGTAAAACAAATCTTATTTAAAATACAAATCATTATTTCTAACCTTGTCAATGTCTTGACTCTATTTTTTATTCATTTCACAACGTAGGGTGGTGAATAAGTGTGACTTTTCATAGAAAACACTTGGGTGACCCCAAACTTTTGAACAGTTGTGTATGTCTGGACTTTTACCAGGCCATTCTAACATTTTTCTTCTTTATATGTTGGGTTTCCAACATCTAGGCTTCAAAACTAAAACTAGGGAGACTTTTTTTAGTTGAATAGACAAATCATTGAGTGTTTGTAGGACAGTCTTTGTGAGTGTCTGTGGAGCTGTCTCTGAGCCCCCGGGTCATAATACTAATTTGTGTTAATCACGCAATGAAAATAGTTTTGCAGTAATGCCGTTATTAGCGCCGTTACTTCCCCCCGAGTCCACCCCGAGTCCACCCCGAGTCCACCCCGAGTCCACCCCGAGTCCACCCCGAGTCCACCCCGAGTCCACCCCGAGTCCACCCCGAGTCCACCCCGAGTCCACCCCGAGTCCACCCCGGTCATGAAAGCGTGTACTGTAAGTGCTCAGTATTTACCCACTGTTCATTGCAGGTCCTTGCAGAGGAGTCAGCGGTGCGCCTGGAGATGCAGATGGCTCTGGACTCTAAGGACAGTGACATAGAACAGCTCCGGTGCCAGATCACATCCCTCAGTGTGCACTCGATGGACTCCACCAGCAGCAGCACTGACCTAGACACCACCGCAGACGGATACCCAGGTATGTCTCTGTAATCCTGCAAAAACACAGGACATTCTCAGCCCCAGGGACACAGGATGGTCGCCTATTCCAGTCAACGGGATATGCTTTTTAGTGTGTAACTTAACCCTGGCTGATGGACTAGAGTGGGTTTATCATAGACCCCTGGAGCAAGCTTGCTATGGACACATATCGTCTAAGTAAAGGGCATTTCAGACCAACTTTTAAAAAATAAGTTGATGTTGTATTTCCTCCCTCCTGCCCTGCTGAAAGCACTGCATGTTTCCTTTCCTTCAGATTCAGAGTTGTGGTTACATATACAGGCTTATATTGAACTTTATTGACCTGGTTGAATAAAGGTCCTTAATGTGGAAAGTATAATGAACCGTGTAATAGAAATCACTGTTAAAGACGCCTTAGAAACGAAGAGGCTGAGATCATAAGAGTTGACATTTTTCAGAGGAATAATTTATTCCTGAGTGCCAGATGGAGGATAATGAGTTGTTACAAAATGGCTCATTGTGTAAGGAAATGAAGGAGAGAAAATACCGATCACAGATCAAATGAGGCAGAACAAATACCGATCACTGACCGATGTGAGACCTTGATATGTGCAGTAATGTTCTAGCATTCACTACAACAAGGAGTGCGCTGCAGGGTGGGGTGGACCAATGGGAGGATTTAGAGCATATTTACTTTGAATATAATTTTGATGTTGAATACTTTGTATAGTTGTGAGTACAAACAGTTGAAACCAGAAGTTTACATACACCTAAAATGCCAGGTGAAATAAAGCACATTATTATACCATACTTTAAAAGCTACACTTTTCTACTTTCCCCGTTTTCCTTGTTTCTGTTTTTATCCTGGTTTCTTCACCACGGATTCTCCTGCTGCTTCCTCTCTCTCCACCACCTTCTCCCATCAGTGCGCATCACTCAGTCCCATACGTCCGAGTCCATGTTCATGTACAAGCGCACACACAAGTCTGTGCGCATAGACACAAGGCCGGACTTGCGGCCCCGCCCCCTTCTTCACACCTCCTCCACATCAAGCTGTGATGATGATGATGAGGATTATGATGATGATGATGGGATGCAGCGCCCCCTAGCTTTAACTCACCGCCAGGCCCCCCGTCTGCCTGTCGAAGACACAGGTGATGTCGCATGGAGTGGCCGGCGCCGCCATGACTGTGCTGTGGACTCACTAACATGTTTGACAGGATGCCATGGGCTCAGTTTATATTCCTTCAGTAATCTCAGAGTTTGCAAAACAGTGAAACTTTTATACAAATGAACTCTATAAATATGTCCACGTCTTCTGTACTTGAATTCTTGTCAGTGTGTGCTCTGGTTCTCTGGTCTCTAATCCTCTTCTCTGCTCTGTGCACACATGCACACGCACACACATGCACACGCACACACATGCACACACACACTACTGCCTTTCTCCTTCAAAGACCATATGACGATACATTTCCAGTTACTCCAGTTGTGTAGTGTAGTGCTTCCAAAACATTCTAATTCTATCATGAGTGTAAAAGCAGGGTTTAGTACCCTGTATTCAGGGTCTTCAGGGTGCTAGTTGTCTGAGTCCTTTCTTTTGTCTTTCGCATGGATAGATTTGCTTTGTGTGTGGTTTGAGTTGGGTAATCCACCTTTGAGCTTTTGAATAAAAACTCTCATGTCTCTCTCCAAACGTGCAGACTCCAGACTGGAGGGCTGGATGTCACTGCCCAATAAGAACACCAAGCGTTATGGCTGGGACAAGCAGGTAAGAGTGTGGTCGTGACTATGTATAAACTAATGTATACATCTTACATGCTTATTGCAGAAGCCGCACAACATTAAATAACAGATTTCTGATTACTCTGTTAATCCGTTCCCAAGAGTCCACATGACATGGCTTTTAGGCTACTATTTTATCTAATGTATTCATTATTGTATTATCTAAATGTTTTAATCTGAAAGCACAAAGCATGTGTTTTAAACCTTACATCACGTTTTAATACATTATTCAAATATTTAAAGTCTGAATGAAGAATTTATTGTTGCCAAATTTTAAGAATAATAGTACAAATAATGATGAACCTGACTAATTTGCGATTTCATTAATTTTGTTTAATCAATTCATGGCCCTTGTTCTTTTTTAGTTTCCATTGCCAATTGTCTGTTTAAAAAAACATAAAAAACTTGGGTTTCTGTCTTCAGAGGAAATTGGAGTTGAGCTGGTGTGTTTCCTGTATTTTCAGTACGTGGTGGTGAGCAGTAAGAAGATATTGTTCTACCACAGTGTGGAGGACCGCGAGCAGGCCAACCCCTACATGACCCTGGACATCGAGTGAGTCCTACACCACATCCATGTCTCGCCCATGTCTCATCCGTGTTTCATCCATGTCTCGTCCATGTCTCGTCCATGTCTCGTCCATTTCTCGTCCATGTCTCGTCCATGTCTCGTCCATGTCTCGTCCATTTCTCGTCCATGTCTCGTCCATGTCTCGTCCATGTCTCGCCCATGTCTCATCCGTGTTTCATCCATGTCTCGTCCATGTCTCGTCCATGTCTCGTCCATGTCTCGTCCATGTCTCGTCCATTTCTCGTCCATGTCTCGTCCATGTCTCGTCCATGTCTCGTCCATTTCTCGTCCATGTCTCGTCCATGTCTCGTCCATGTCTCGCCCATGTCTCGTCCATGTCTCGCCCATGTCTCGCCCATGTCTCGCCCATGTCTCGTCCATTTCTCGTCCATTTCTCGTCCATGTCTCGCCCATGTCTCGCCCATGTCTCGCCCATGTCTCGCCCATGTCTCGCCCATGTCTCGCCCATGTCTCGCCCATGTCTCGCCCATGTCTCGCCCATGTCTCGTCCATGTCTCGTCCATTTCTCGGCCATGTCTCGTCCATGTCTCGTCCATGTCTCGTCCATGTCTCGCCCATGTCTCGCCCATGTCTCGCCCATGTCTCGCCCATGTCTCGTCCATTTCTCGTCCATGTCTCGCCCATGTCTCGCCCATGTCTCGCCCATGTCTCGCCCATGTCTCGCCCATTTCTCGTCCATTTCTCGTCCATGTCTCGTCCATGTCTCGTCCATGTCTTGCCCATGGAAAGAGTTAATTTCTGTTCATCACAAACAGAACTTACAGTAACTCTCTAAAATTCGCTGATACCAGGAACTTTCAGCACACGACACAAACATGTTTCTTATCTTGTGTGGAGCTTTTACAATACAGCACTTGTTTATTGTGTCCAACCCAGTCCTTCTCGAATGGTGGAACATGGTGCTCTGTCAAAGAGGACGAGTGACTTACAGAAGCAGGCATTTTTTTCTGTCAATCCATGAAGAGAGCACATTGTTGTTCGCGTAGTCAAAAACAATGAATACAACTCCCACTGGTTGAAACCTGGTACAGACCGGGTTCAGTTCCGACTCCAGAGATGGTAAAACAGCCCAGATCTCCTCTCCTCTCATCAGGAAACTGCATCTACCTTGCATCGCGCCCGGAGACGATGTTCAGGAAAACAATCTCTGCATCTCATCGACTAACCTGAGAACATATTTTTTTATACTTTTGGAAATGGGCTGTAAGTTTGCAAAATGTAGAAAAGGTGAAGGGGGTTGAATACTTTCTGAATGCAAATACAGAACTCATTTGTAATAATGTCTGCATTGTGTTCGTGCTGCTTCTCTTTTGCAGTAAACTGTTCCATGTGCGGCCTGTCACTCAGACCGATGTGTACCGCGCCGACGCCAGAGAAATACCACGAATATTCCAGGTACAACTCCTCCATCCCTGCCTGCATTAAACCTCTCCCAACCACTCATTACTTACTTTCACTCTCAGCTCTGCATGGGGACTCTCATGGGGAAGGGATTGAATGTAATCACAACGATACAGTCTCTAAAGACAATTAGCGTTCAGACAAGAAATGCCTTTTTAATCATGTTAAAACATTGTCCTCTACTAAAACTACTAAAATTCCTTGCTGACATCGATGGACCTTTATGCACATTTAGTTATGAATACTGGAAATCTTGTTACTAAAATAAATTGAGTTGAATAAAAGAAAATTGCCAGATGCAGCAGCAATATTGATTTTCACACACGTTGCTTAAAAGGTAACAAAAGATTCCTGCCAACCGCCTGTTTCAGAATATTTTTCGGAAGTTGTGATGCATACAAGAGGTTTCTACTTGGACTTTTAAAACTACATTTACCAAGCTAATCTTAATCTTCTGAATGCCTGTCTTTTTTCAGATCCTCTACGCTAACGAAGGCGAGAGTAAGCGTGACCAGGAGACGTGTGTGGAGCCGGTGGCCTTCAGCGAGCGGCCATCTTATATCAGTCACAAAGGGCACGAGTTTATCCCCACGCTGTACCACTTTCCCGCCAGCTGTGAGGCCTGTGCCCGCCCTCTGTGGCACATGTTTAAGCCGCCACCCGCTCTGGAGTGCCGCCGCTGCCACTTCAAGTGCCACAAGGACCATATGAGCAGCAAGGAGGAGGGCATCCCCCCCTGCAAAGGTCAGCTCCATTCTCAGGACTGGAGAAAAAGTCTGTCCGTATGTTTCCCTGTCTATGCCTGTCGATCCGTTATGAACTACCTGGAGTTGATCTATTCTGCTGTGACTGTGATGGCAGCACATGGCGGAATGGGACACATTGAAAAGATATGACTTAGTGTTTGATATAACATAAGTGTTTTTTCATTTCGGTTTGCACTCTCGCTTCTCTGCAAGAAGGTCCTGGGTTTGAATCCCGGTCGGAACAGGGTGTTTTTGAGTGGACAAATGTTTTAAGTAGACTTAAAAATACTTTGCTTAAGATTATGTTTTTAAGTAAATAATATTTTGCGATAGTATGTTTTCAAGTAAATTATCCAATTAGAAGGCAGAATGAGGGTCAGTTTGGGTTGTCAGTTTATGTGAAATATAGCTTGTCTGTCTCAATCTGTAATTAACAGCAACATTCACTAAAATACAATGGCACCTGACATCTGTTCAAATGAAAGCAGATACTAAAAGTTTTCCCCTGCTTTAGCATCTGTCCCCATTCTGTGGCTGGGCTTCCTGGGCATGTGCATTAGTGCTACCTCTGAAACTATGCGTTCAAGTTTGAGTTAAAAGGAAAACCAGGGATTCAAAAAAAATGTTTATGATCACAAAACAAATGGCCAGACAATCTGACTTTTGAAAACCCTGCATTAACTGCTTTGTCTTTTTCTGCCCAGTGAACTACGACATGTCCACAGCCAAAGAGCTCCTCTTGCTGGCCAGCTCTTCGGAGGAGCAGGCCCGCTGGGTCAGCCATTTGCTCAAGAGGTTGCCCCGCAAACAGACCACCCTGAGCTCTCCCCCCACGGCTCTGCCTCCCTCAGCCTTACCCTTTACGCCGGAGCTCCACCACAGGGCTAGCCCCAGAGCCAGTCCCAGAGCTAGTCCCAAAGCTAGTCCCAGGGCATCTCCGCGCATGTCTCATCGAGGAGCAATAAAAGTCCAGGCCAGGACCATGCAGCAGCAGGAGAGCTCGGGAAAAACCAGGTGAGGACAGCACACTCACTACACTCTGATATGTGTGGCAAATAAAAATAAAAAGCTCAAGTTACCGCAAGAGTTTTCTATACCTCAGGTGAGGAAGGATAATACGGAAAAAATATTGTGCACTAATCTTTATCACAGTAGGATCACAGAAGGTGTGTCGTTCGGCCTCTGCTGCTGTGTACATGAGCCCATTTAACCCATATGCCCTGATTCTCACCCTCGCAGCTCAGGGCTCATGCTGCGCATCATTCTCCACTGACCTTTCTTCGCTTTCTAACGCCTTTCCCTGTGTAAGTAGAGCTGTCCCCACATTGTCTTTCCCTCTATTATAGCTGTTCCCACTTCGTCTTTCCCTGTGTAATTAGAGCTGTCCCCACATTGTCTCTCCCTGTGTAATTAGAGCTGTCCCCACATTGTCTCTCCCTGTGTAATTAGAGCTGTCCCCACATTGTCTTTCCCTCTATTATAGCTGTCCCCACTTCGTCTTTCCCTGTGTAATTAGAGCTGTCCCCACATTGTCTTTCCCTGTGTAATTATAGCTGTCCCCACTTCGTCTTTCCCTGTGTAGTTAGAGCTGTCCCCACATAGTCTTTCCCTGTGTAATAGAACTGTCCCCACATAGTCTTTCCCTGTGTTATTAGGGCTGTCCACATATCGTCTTTCCCTGTGTTATTAGGGCTGTCCCCACATAGTCTTTCCCTGTGTAATTAGGTGTTCCCACATAGTCTTTCCCTGTGTAATTAGGTGTCCCCACATAGTCTTTCCCTGTGTAATTAGGTGTCCCCACATAGTCTTTCCCTGTGTAATTAGGTGTCCCCACATAGTCTTACCCTGTGTAATTAGGTGTCCCCACATAGTCTTTCCCTGTGTAATTAGGTGTCCCCACATAGTCTTTCCCTGTGTAATTAGGTGTCCCCACATAGTCTTTCCCTGTGTAATTAGGTGTCCCCACATCGTCTTTCCTTGTGTAATTAGAGCTGTCCCCACATCGCCTTTCCCTGTGTACAGATGTCCCCTCATTGTCTCTTTACCTGTGTTCCCAATATTGTCTTTGCAAACCCAACTTCATCTGGTGTGACAACTACAAAGTTAGAATCAACATTGTTTTCCTTCTCATTGATAAAGTTTCACCACATAAGTTATATCCACAAAAAACTTAAACTTGGCTAAAGCCTTGTATAGAGAATGTTCTGACACTAATGCTAGCTAGACTGCTTCTGAGCATAGACGTTATTCATATGGATACCAATGTTAGGTCTGTGCATTTGTATCATCTTCATCAGCTCTCATTCATTCCTGCTTGCTCTGCACGCCCTACCTTATCCCCATCGCTACTACAGCGCCCCCACAGGATGCACCGGGTAGTGTGCCTTGCACTCACACTACTGCCATTCACAGAGTGCTGCAGTTTGGCCTGCCCGGCTGGACCTGGGCTCTGCAGGACGGCCATGAGGATGAGGATGATGATGACGACGATTTCTTCTAAAAGAAAACCAATGTGTTACTTGGTAAAAAAAAGAGGCATGGATTGTGTGTCCAGCTCAAAGCATGCAAACCGGCTCTGAAGATTGTGTGCAGTGTAAATACTCCAGATTGTGTTGCCAATAGCCACTTGTGTGTGTAGTCCGTCTGTTTTCTTCCGCTTCATCTGTTGCCGGGTCGCGGGGGCAGCAGTCTAAGCAGAGACGCGCAGACTTCCCTATCCACACACACTTCCTCCAGCTCGTCCGGGGGGACCCCAAGGCGTTCCCAGGCCAGCTGAGAGACATAGTCCCTCCAGCGTGTCCTGGGTCTTCCCCGGGGCCTCTTCCCGGTGGGACGTGCCCGGAACACCTCCCCAGGGAGGCGTCCAGGAGGCATCCGGAACAGATGCCCGAGCCACCTCAACTGGTTCCTCTCGACGTGGAGTAGCAGCGGCTCTACTCCGAGCTCCTCCCGTGTGACCGAGCTCCTCACCCTATCTCTAAGGGAGCGCCCAGCCACTCTGCGGAGGAAGCTCATTTCGACCGCTTGTATCCGCGATCTTGTTCTTTCGGTCATTACCCAAAGTTCATGACCATAGGTGAGGGAGGGAACGAAGATTGACCGGTAAATCGAGAGCTTTGCCTTTCGGCTCAGCTCCCTCTTCACCACAACGGTCCGATACAGCGACCGCATCACTGCGCACGCTGCACCGATCCGCCTGTCAATCTCACGCTCCATCCTTCCCTCACTCGTGAACAAGACCCCGAGATACTTGAACTCCTCCACTTGAGGAAGGACCTCTCCACCCACCCGGAGAGGGCAAGGCACCTTTTTCCGGTCGAGCACCATGGCCTCGGATTTGGAGGTGCAGATTCTCATCCCAGCCGCTTCACACTCGGCTGCAAACCGTCCCAGTGCATGCTGCAGGTCCTGGTTCGTTGGAGCCAACAGGACAACATCGTCCGCAAACAGCAGAGATGAAATCCTGTGGTCCCCGAACCGGACCCCCTCCGGCCCCTGGCTGCGCTTGGAAATTCTGTCCATGAATACAGTGAACAGAACCGGTGACAAAGGGCAGCCCTGGCAGAGGGCAACATGCACCGGGAACAGGTCTGACTTACTGCCGGCAATGCGAACACAGCTTTGGCTCCGGTCATACAGGGACCGAACAACCCTCAGCAGAGGACCCCGGACCCCGTACTCCCGGAGAACCCCCCAAAGAACACCCCGGGGAACACGGTCAAACGCCTTCTCCAAATCCACAAAGCACATGTGGACAGGTTGGGCGAACTCCCATGAACCCTCGAGTATCCGATGGAGAGTATAGAGCTGGTCCAGTGTTCCGCGACCGGGACGAAAACCACACTGCTCCTCCTGAATCAGAGATTCGACCATTGGCCGTAGCCTCCTCTCCAGTACCTTGGAGTAAACCTTACCGGGGAGGCTGAGGAGTGTGATCCCACTCCCAGTCCTTTGCTTTTTACTTTGTACACTCACGATTGTGTGTCCTCCTCTGACTCAAACCTGATCATCAAATATGCTGATGACACCATTATCATCGGTCTCATCAGTGACAATGATGAATCCTCTTATAGAGCAGAGATACAAAATGTGGTTCAGTGGAGTCAAACTAACAACCTCCAGTTGAACGCATCCAAAACATGTGAACTGGTCTACGACTTCAGTCGCAATAGTTCTCATTTGCCTGTCGTAATCGACAACTCCCAGGTGCAGATCGTAGAGGAGTGCAAGTTTCTGGGTTTAACTCTGTCTAACGACCTGAAATGGGTTAAAAACACTGACCGAGTCGTTAAGAAAGCTCGTCAGTGTCTACTTTCTGCGTAAACGTAGAGAATTTACCACTAACTCTAAGATTCTGCTTAACTTTTATTGCTGCACCATTGAGAGTTTACTTGTTGGTTCTGTGTCTGTGTGGTTTGGAAACATCACAGATAAAGAAAAGAGAGCTTTAAACAAGGTGCTCCGCTCTGCAAAGAGGACCGTGGGCTGTGAGCTTCCTGTTCTGGAGGTTCTTTATAAATCCAGACTTTTAAACAAAGCTCTTAGGATTGTTAATGACTCTTCTGGCCACCCTGGGAAAGACATGTTCCAGCTTCTTTCCTCTGGCAGAAGATATCGTTCTCTGAGATGCAGGACATCTCGTTACGCTAACAGTTTTTATCCACAAGCTGTTATCAGTGTGAACAGAGCACTTTAATGATTTGCACTTGTTTTGAAACTGTTTTAGTCGATCGATTTCACAGTGACATTTGTTTACTGTTTTATTTGTTTTATTTCTGTCTTTTATTGTCTGTATTTGTCTGTGCACACTGGAGACTTTTGCTAATGTATTCCAATGTGGTTTTTTTTACTGCAAATGGCAAAATAAACTGAATCTGAATCTGATAATTGGAACACACCCTCCGGTCCCCCTTCTTATAGAGAGGGACCACCACCCCGGTCTGCCACTCCATCGGCACCGCCCCCGATCGCCACACGACGTTGCAGAGACGTGTCAGCCAAGACAGTCCCACAACATCCAGAGACTTTAGATAGTCAGGACGGATCTCATCCACTCCCGGCACCTTGCCACCAAGGAGGCTGCCAACCACCTTGGTGACCTCCGCCAGGGAGATGGAAGTATCCGCCCCAACATCTTCAGCCTCTGCCTCCGGGACGGAGGACGTGTGTGTGTAGTGCAGGGGTGCTCACACTTTTTCAGCATGCGAGCTACTTATAAAAGGATCAAGTCAAAAATGCAAATCATATATTTCAAAAAATATTTTTTATATCTACAATGTATGTTTATGTACATGCAAAACCGCATAAGCCAATATAGCACAACACAATTACCTATGTACATTTTTTGTCATTACCCTCGTTTACTCTGATGACTTGCACTGAATTGAATCGGCCAGGGATGCATAGTCCGGAAAATTGGTGGTAACTCGCTGACAAGTTTGTCGTGGTTTAGCTTTCCTGCACTGAGCGCGGTTGTTTGCGCATGTGCAGTCACCTAAGTGTCAGTAAAACTTTACTGAGTAAAACACAGATGTCATTTGACTGTGGTGCCATGTCCATGTGCCATGCCTGTTTTTTTTAAATCCAAATATTTCCCCTCCTCCGTTTATAAAATAATTTGCATCCACACATCTGCGTTATCAATCACATTCGTAACATTCCAAACATGTGCGTCTCTTACGTCCTGTCCTGCGTTGGGGAAAAACACAGAAGTGGGCGGAGCTTTGATGCAGACGCCGGTAACGGCACTCCAACCCTGGTGTGCACTTCGAACAAATGCACACTTCGTAGAGGTGTGTAGGGTTGGAGTGCGCAGGTTACAAGTGTGCAAAAAAGGCAGAATTGGGACAGTGCACACTGAGTGCAGTTTACGTCATCGACTCGTCAAGAGATGGTCATTTTCAGACCTAAACTTTATAAAAATTAAAGGTAACTTTGTCTGACCCTTTGGGAAACAAAATGAATTGCTTCACACACGTTAAAATACATGTATATTAGTTGTTTTTAATTAGAGATAGCTGTATAATTTTAAGTTAAATGTGGGTAACTAACTATCTGGTCAGTTTTTTATACATTCTAAGATTATTGTACTAAGTCTAAAGTTTAAATTGAATGTTATATAAACGCTTGCTTTAAAAATTTATTAAATTGTTAAAACACAATGTCCGTAATTCTTCATCAAACGTTTATGCTTCTTTCCAAGTAACATAGCAAAACTTATTCACACACATACTGCATATATATTTCAAAATTTATATTTAAATGCATTTTCCCGACGTTTTGGTGTGTACCGCAAAGAATTATGGGCAATATCCTTCGCCAGAGTGCGCATAGATGCAGGCTACGGCGAAGTGTGGATCAGGGGCGCAAAGGGGGCGGGGCCAAATACCTCCCTGGAGAATTGGGACACCCTACGCACTCGTACCCTTTATCGGGAACGCGCAAATGAGGGGCGCGAGGGTGGAAGTGCGAGTATTGGGACGGGGCCTCAGAGTAAAGACGTATGTTTACAAGCACTGACCCCGTCCTCAGCCCTGGTTTAGTCCTGGTTTAGTCCCGTTTTAGTCCTGGTTTAGTCCTGGTTTAGTCCTGGTTTGGTTGTTTTCGAGCGTGAGTCCCCGCGATCACTTTGCTGCTCTCTGATGTGGAGCGAGGATGGTCGCTGCTGCGAGCATCTCACAGCGAACAGTTTTTAAGGTAGTATGATCCATGCTTCAGTGATCAGAGGAATTTAGGGGGGTACTGTGGCGTGCGAGAACGCAAAACTCTGGTTATCTCTGTCTACACACAAATGCATTAACGGAGTTTTCAAAAATCTCCACTTTGCCCGGAGTTTTTTGTATATATTCGTTTAGAATGTGTAATTTTTTATTTATTTAATGCGATCTACCAATACTACCTTTGCGATCGACTGGTAGATCGCGATCGACGTATTGAGCACCCCTGGCCTAAACTATTGTATTGCATTGCAAAGAATTTCAAAGTTCCCAGAAATATTATACTAATACACATATTAGTCTCAGTTTATATAGTAATTATCAGAACATGTCTGCTTGATCAATCATGTCAGTCATGCTATTATTCAGTGTTGTTTCCCAGTAAGGCAATTTTCTGTTCCAATTTAGATATTGAATTCCCATAACCAGTCTGGAGTATAATATAGTGGTCTAACATGTGACTGTGACATGCCACCATGCATTTCTTTGGAAATCTGAGTCAGGAATATTAACAAGACCTTTACCTATAGTCCACCCACTTTAGCAGGTGCTGTTATTGTATACCGAACATTGGACTTAAAGACAACTTGTAAACATTGTGAATGATAATTGTTGGGGTTGTTGGTTGATTTCAATTTAAGTAAGGAAAAAAAGAAGGTAGGATGGACTGTAGGTTAAACAATGGACAAATAATGGATTGTAGCTAAAACCATGCAAAGGTTTGCACTTACCAATCATTAACATTGTGGTGCCATTTGGAAAGAATGGTAAAAAGTAGACAATATAATATATACTACAGTTAAAATGAGTTGCTTTTGTCTTTAACCCCAGTATAGTAAAATACTTTCTCATAGAAAAAGAAAACTTAAAATGATCTTACCATCCATAATATCATCCGGTCTTTTGCGTTTCTCATACACAACTATAATTACTACTAGAATAAGAATTTCTGCTAGTACACCCAGGAAAGGCCAAAGGGGTGCCAGATGACTGCGCACGCGTAGAATTGTTATTTCGGCAGTTGTCCCGATCGTGTTTGTGGCGTTGCATTCGTACAGTCCGGGATCAGTATTGATGTCCAAGTAGAGTATGTTGAGCTCTGTGTAGTTATCTCTGATTGTGATGATGAAGCGTCCTGTGGAGTTGTCGATTTCCTGAAAAATCAGAATCAGACATTTCAGTATGTGTACTGTATTTGATCACACAGCATGGGGATGTGTAAAAGTTGTGTTAACATTTCATTTCAGATCAAGGGCATAGGGCTATCTAACTCACTGTATGTGAAGATTATAAGTTGCAATCAAAAATATTTTTTGGTTCGACCTTCTGAAATGTTTATTTGTATGTGTTCTGACACAGGACCTCAGCTCAGACATATACTTTTAGGCTTATTACAAGGTAGTGTCGTGACATGAGTACAAACAGTGTGCTACTTACCATGTTTGTCTTAGCGGCTACATCCACTTTGTGCCATGACCAGACAGGATGAGGATATCCAACAGACTTGCAGTATAACGTTGCGTTTTCCCCTTCCTTCTTATTTTCACTCCTCTTATGGCCAATAATATCAGGTTTTGCTGATAAAATAAATCATTAGCAAGTTAGATGATTTCACTTTAAATGGGATTTCAATAAATGACATATGTAAAAGATGCAATAAGAATTATGTCAACGATGACTTCTCTGATACACTTCACTATGAAATTGTGGAGAAGTGAGAAAGACTGAAACATTCCACTATTCCAACTATTGCTCTAAATACAGCAGCAGCGACCTGTGCAAAAAGAGTCAAGAAAGCAGATTCTCAAGAAGAATTTCAAGCAAAATAATGTGAGTTTTAATCATCAGAACAATGGGATACATGCATTGTATAATCTAATGAAATAGATTTCAGGCTCAGTCTGGCTCAATACAAAAACTGTTAATTTAAGAAGCCTTGGTACCCTTGCCACTCAGCTTTTGCTATTGGGAATATCATTCTTGAAGAGATAAAGCATTTTATTAAAATGTATAATGAGGTCATGGAAGAAAGGAATGAGAATGAAATAAAGCCCCCAGATGGTTTTTTTCAAAATGATTCCACAATGACTCACAAAAGAACCCTAGAACCAAAGAAAATGTTATTTATGATTGATGAATAAACACAAAGAAACCTGCAAAGGGAAATTATTATAAATGTAAAATGTGATTGTTTCATTCAATCATTCTACTAAATAAATAAAAAATGTTGCTTTTACACAAAGTTCTTATGTAATACTCAAAATAAATGACAGTAATCTGCAATGTATAAGATAATGAAGAAGGCCAGAGCTTTTCCAGCTGCACAGAGGGGTTTGGGCTCCGCTGGGACATCGCTCACTCTAATCATGGAGTGTGCACATGCTCTGGGCAGGGGAGCGACCAAACTCAGGTGCATTATTTAACCCTTATGACTTGGACTAACAGCAAAGTAAATATCAGATAAACAGATAACTTGTAGATTATGTATCTATTTATACTAATTAAAAAGACAAAAAAACAGGAATGAAAAAATAAATGTAAAAATTCTATCAATATTTTCTGGGAAATATTTGAAGAAAAAAAAAACAAATATGTATCCGAGCTTAGTATTGCAAACAATAAAGACTGGTCACAGAAATGGCTGGGCTTGCGTTCAGAGCCTTAATCCTACAACATCACAGAAGCCTCCATCTGTTGCCTCTGAGCTGAGTCCTGCAAAGATGAGTGTGCCAAGGACACTGTAGGCGAGGGATCTCAGTGAACTGCTGCCAGAGGCCAAAGCAGAGTTGCCTAGAAGTGGGTATGCTACCTGTGTCACAAACAATGTCACGTACATTAAGATCATGTTTATAAAGAAAACATGTCTTTGTAGATTTAATTAAAACATAACATAACAAATGAAAAAATGGGATTCATTAGAAACATAAGGTTTAAAGAAAAATAAGCCCTTCCCTCAGGCTTGATGTCCAATGGATATAATACTGTCAATCCTCAATCCATTGAAAATAAAACATGTCCCCCATGTTATGCAATCAGGCAATACTTTAAGACAAGCCAAGGAAGAAGAGGCAGGACATGCTCAGTATGCACCAAAGCCATGCCACAGCAAATTGGCTTAAGCACTGCACACAGGCAAGCTTCTCTTGAACAGGGTTTCCACTTGCCCTTTCTCAGAGAAGATTCCTTATTCAAGTTGATGGCTTCACTGTCAGCTTGAATAAAACCAACACAGCAGTTTTTTGGTTAGGTTTTTTTTTCTTTTTTTACCTTTAGTGCGTGCACCGCCATGTTTAAACGTGGATCTCTTGCACATACAAATAGTTAATATGTTGGTGTGTACATGAAAGTGCAGTCATGCAAATATGCTGCTCCTGTCCACTTGGTTGACTGTTGTCTCAGTGAACGCTGAGAATGACAACAGCCTCAGGATAGCTTCCTGTCACTGCTGCTTCAAACAAAAATGTTGTCTACAGGACTTCTTTAACAGCTATTGCTGCTACCAACTGAATCTTTTGTACTCTTCTCTCAGCAGATGACAGTGAAAGCCAATGCTACAAATGTCTTATTGCATTAATGCATTAATAACAGACTGTGTGGTAAACGTGCTTACCTTTTACTTCAATTGTTGCATTAGCATTTGGTGCCATATCAAATGTGTAAACACACATGTATTCTCCAGAATCATCGGCCCGTGGTTTTGTGATTCTATAATCATAAAAAAGACATTGAATATACCACATGAGATTAACAAGCTACAGGGATTGTATAGACTCGAGATTGCACTTTGTAAAATTATGTCTCTTAACAGTTATAAAAGTGAGATCATGTTTTAAAAAAATATATTGAACAGCTCAATGATGGATAAGAAAAATATAGAAATTAAAACATTTTTTTGTACATTGATATTGTATGAAGCAATTTAACCTGTGTAAATAGCTTTGAAGCTTTCAGTTTGCTTTTTGAAGTGATGGTCTGGAGTTTGTCAGAAAAAAGAGAGAGAGGGACATGATTTGAAAAAAAGCGACCCAAGCTCCCTCCCCCTTCCTTTCTGATTGGTGTTGAAGCCGAGCCTACTTTTCCGTGCACGCGCCAGAGGAGAGATTATTAATTTAAGTATTCGAATATTTTATTATAATGTATTATACAGCTCCTCACAGCAGCAGTAGAATGCTCCATTGATTTGAATGTAATTTCTAAACGTTCTACCGATCATTATTTCTCTCAAACCAATAATGACCGCTGCCCTTTGGCAACGCACTCTGTGCTTGTACTTCAGGTGTGTAAAATTGATCTGGACAATAGTTCGCACACTTCGTCACAACGGGCTTTCAGCGCCTGTCACTTATTACTTCTGTCTGTGTGAGAAGCTAACAAAGCTAGCCATGGTCAATACCATAATATCAATCAATCAACACATTTAAATGTGAATAAAAAATTTCAGATTTTCAGATTTTTTTGGTAATGTTTTCATGACAATAATACTGTTTTAATGCGTCAAAAAGGGATTGGTTTTTGACACAGTAAAACCGGAAGTAACTATTAACATTAGTAGAACATTTTAGGACACATTTGCAGAGGATTTGATTATGGATTTAGGTTAAGTCTATATAATTGGGTCACTCACTGCTGATGTTCAGAATTCTTTGTTCACGTTTCATGTAGTTCCAGAGAGTTCTAGTTAGTAAGCTAGCCTAGCTGTTACCCGTCTTTAATTAGCCAATGCTAACATATAGCCTTGACAGACCTCTGGAAAACGTCTTTACAGGATGGACCAAAAGTTGGCTCTTGGCCCAAAGCTCTGTTCCACATGTGTGTCAATGCTGAGAGGAGTGAATTTTTTTGGACCAGTCTAGGTTACTTGCTGTGAATTTTGAAGTCTCTCGTTCAAATGAATGGAGCTGCACCGGCTGATGCGTTTTTTCACAATTTTCTTGTGGGTGGGACCACTCGCGGCCATTTTGGATTTTTGGCCCATTAGTTAGAACGGCGGAGAACTAATTATTTCATATATATCATTTAAAAAAGATAATGCCCGAGCACAAGCGTGATGATTGACAGCCCTTGGCATCACTTGATTGGTTATCGTGGACAGCATCGTGGATTTTGAGCTATAGCTAAGAGAAGGGAAGGCGGGACTTACCCGTAATATTAGAATTCATAAAATGACTTATTTTATATCAACATTTAAGGCCAGGAGGTCAATTTTATACAATTCTTAAAATGTGAAATTCATTTAGAGTTCCATGCTATCACTTTTATTCCACAAACAAACATGAAAATGGAAATTCACAGGCAGAGTCATCTTGTTCATTTTGATTGAAAAAAATGTGTTAGGCTCAGTGTCTTGCATACATTTTAGAAACAGATCATAAACAGATGTTATTTCTCAGTGTGTTGGCCAGTCACTGCTTTTCTGACTGCTGAAGTGGTTAAAAAGATTACATTATTCTGTTCTATACGTGCTCTGCAGATCACATGATCACAGCCAAGCTCTGATTTAGAGTTTAGAGAGACAAAGTGTTTAAGCTGCTGTTTTAAATCACATGTGTTGTGATTTATAACAGCAACAGTGTGAAACACATCTGTGTTGAGCTCAAGTGACTGGAAGACCACGAGGCAAAGTGGGCATGTCACTTGAACTTGTATGAACAAAGAGAAAAATAATTTAACTAAATTAATTGGTTGACCAATATTTTGTTCGTGATCAAGCGACTATAGTTTGCATTTTATTCATTTTACTCAAGGGACAACAAAGGTATGGATGCAGTTACCTGTATGTTGTGTGTCTGTGCTCATTTCTTGTATTGCTGATCTCTTTCCCATTCTTCATCCAGAAGCTTTCCTTGTGAGGAGTATGGGCAGATGTGAGGTTACACTGCACAATAACTGGTTTGTTGGAGCCATCCAATGGCAGAATGATCTGATCAGAGGAATTGATCTTTGGTTCTGCAAAAGAGAAATAGTCAATGCTCATTACAGAAGCAGCCTCAGAACTCGCACATTCTCTCTTAGCCAGTAGCAGCTGTAGGCTGTGAGCTGTTTTATATAAACTGTGTGGGAGGAAGGCTATGAAGTCAAGACAAAAGAACACACGACAAGCAACACAAACATTCAGAAAAGGTGTTGGGTAAACTGTAATTTATATAGTATCTTAACTGTTAGCTCTTTATCTGTCATAGTCATCAATGCTAGTTTGACAACTGACATCAAGAGAGAAAATTGTTATTTTGTTGCTCTACAGTAGTAGGAACATGGTTAAGATTTTGCTTAAGAAGTGATGAAAAAGAGCAGTTTCTATTGTAGCTGTATTTTTCAATCAATTCAATCTTAATGTAAAAAGATTTATACAAATTAGATAAAAGTTAAGTTCTATTTTGTCATTCAAAGGGAGAATATTGATTTATTTGTAGCATTTTATTTTAAAAGGTAGCATATTTACATTATATTGTTTGCATTGCCTCAGAACCGTGTCTCAAGGACGTCCATTTGTAGCAGACGATGTCATTGGAGAGCCCTGTGCTCGGTTGTGAGTAGTGACCAGAACACTTCCTACTTCTTGCCCCTCCTCCTCTTGGGCAAGCCAACCATGGCAACATCTGAGCCCCGGAGGGGAGGAGCTGAAAGCAGCATCATAATCCTACTACTGGTGGCTTCAGCCAGGGCACAATCAGGACAAACAGGAGCAGACAAAAAGGAGCAAGTCAGACGGGAGAAGTGACTTCTCTTCGCACCAGGACACCTTCTCTTGCCATTAAAAACACCTCGAGGGAGTGCTACCCCCATCCGTCATGGGTTTTTCTCCTCCACCAAACAGGACTACATGTTCTATTAATAGTATCTTTGAGACATGCGTAGACACACAACATGAGGTACATAAATTAGCATTTAGCTAGCATTGTTGTCTAGAGGCAATTTAGAGGAAAGGTTATTTGTAGGACTTCTTACCTGCAAGAACTTACTAATTCAGAATTTTAAACTAGAACTGAAACCAGTGGTAGAGATTTAAAGAAATAATCCCTTTCAGGGCTTCAACACTGTGACCTTGAATTCAGTTTCCCTATGAATATGAATTTTAATCTATTATGCATTCATTAGTTAGTTGTTATAGCATATTTCCAGATTATTTTTTAAAGATACATTTTAAGATTTTATAGACCCACAACATTTAGTTGTAAAGTTATTTCTTTCGTTTTAAATTTTTCTCATGATTATACGCATGCTTCAACTCTTTTAACATATGATACCTTGTTTTGTTCTGAATAAAATTTGTATTGTTGAAAGTCGAGTTGCAAACCAAATTAAATGATGAAATTATTTACAAGCATCAACTTACAGTTGAAAACCAAAAGTTTACATACATCTAGTTCTTTTCTAGTTACTATTATTACTAGTAGTTAATCATAAACATATTTTATTGGCAGCTTGTCCGTTTACAACATTTCATACAAAATGTTGATAATAAAAAAAACACTTGATACCAATTATCAATCAAAAATAATAAAACTTTCTGGTTTAGTTTAATTTGTTGTCGAGTTTATTTGTTGTCTCATCTTGCAAAAATAGGATCTACCTCTGATACTAGTCATTAAACCCTAGTACATTTTAAATATTCCACATTGAAAGCCTTTTTACTCTTTAAAATGGGTATGTCCCCTGGGAGGGAACGCGGTGCCTTGTTTTTCCACACATGATCATTGCATGTTTTGGTAAAAAATAATGAATCTTCGCCATAACCATGCAATTGGGCGGCATGGTGGCTGAGTGGATATTACTCTTGCCTCTCAGCAAGGATGTCCTGGGTTCCTATCCCGGCCGGACTAGGGCCTTTCTGAGTGGAGTTGGCATGTTCTCCCCGTGTCTGCATAGGTTTCCTCCGGGTACTCCGGTTTCCCCTACCACTAAACATATGTATAATAGGTCTGGCATGCGCCTCCTGTACTGGCGACCTCACTCCCCTATCTCTGTGTGGAGTGAGAGACAAATTCCCAAAAAATAACAATTGTAAACTGCTTTGTGACTCTGGTCTGTGAAAGGCGGTATATAAATAAAGATTACTTACTTACTTATAACAAATAGATTGGTTTTGAGTGGCCATTGCAAAGACCTGATCTCAATCAGAAAGATATTTCTTAATAATTAATAATGCAGTAGTGAGCCACGAGAGATGTATGTATATGTCATTTAATGTGTCTTCAAACTTAGTTTCCACTCTGCAGGTATTAGAACAAAATTGTTTACAATTCCTCATAAAGAAGACATTTGATCATATTTGGACTTTCTAATCCAATTAGCCTTGGGATCAGACTATCAACTTCAGCTTCTCATAGAGCTTCACCATATCTGTCAACGTTCCAGTGTGCGCTTTAGCACTGGAGCACTAAAGATTAGCTAGATCTGGTTGGATTTGGTTTGGCTATTTTCTGCGTTAAACGGTGCTGTAAAATTAGTATAAATACAGAATTACCTAAGGCCACTTAAGTCTTTATTTGCATTTGCAACATTTACCTGAAGTAAAAGATAATTCACATATTAGATCATATTATAAAATGATGAGAAATTGGGACAAAAGAATGTTTGTGAAATCTAGGAAATGTAGAAATGAACAACTAATATAGAAACAGATCAGTGGCTTTTCCCCACAGATTCACTGCATTGATTTACTACTCACTCTGTAGCACTGAAATAGTGGCCTGGGCACGAATCCACGTGATCGCAGGGTTTTGTCGCAGGTCGTTTCGTCTGGGGTCGTTGCTCGCTCTGCACTCATAAGTTCCAGAATCTTCCAACGTCAGCCGTGTGATCCCAAGCACACTGACCCCGTTGGCTCCGTACGCTGTATTGATGGACACCCGTCGCTTTCTAGCTCCGTCCCATAACTGCTTGAAAGAGTCTGCACGGTTTATTTCAGCGTACCACCACTGGATTTCCGGTGTTGGGTTTCCAACCACACTGCAGTACAGCTCAAAGGCATCCCCTGTAAGCTTGGTCTCGGACATTGGCGACTTCTCAAACCCAGCTGAAAAGAGAAGGTAAAGGGCAGGAAAGGGATGTGGAAAAAAAAAGAGAAATCAAAGAAGTAGAATCATAACAGTATTGAAAAACCATAAATGATTTAAAGAGGAAACAAAGAGGATAGTGTTAGTGACAGACAACTAGTTATTAGGTGTATCAAATTGGAAAAGCATTCCCATAAAAGGGTTAGGGTTAAAAGCATACTGAAAAGAAGTGGACATAATGGTGTGACACCCATGGCACTAATTTTCCCGTTGATGGTTTAGCTATAGTGCAATGAACTGAATTTGCAATCATTATATTTAAAATACAAAATACTTTGACCAGCTCTTTCTGCCACAAATTTTCCTGTTTGGCACGCAGCAGCTAGTTTTCAAGCCATGTCCACTTATTTTCACTCTATTAGCATCATAGAATGTCTTGCACTGTTAAGACCAGTGGAGGCGGGTCCCGGTTTAAATTAATGGGGCTTATGCTGGCTAACGTATGCTTTAGTGCTACTTGTTTGGCTCCCACTCTGATCACTAGCCGCTGATTGGTCAAAACGCGACGGAGGCCCTCTGTGCGTATGCATGAGATACGCACCCACGTATTTGCCGTAAAGTATCATGGGAGCTCTTCCACTGCACGGAACAGGGAGGACCAGACGATGCCCAAATATGTTTTTTGCATATAAAATGATATACTTTCTATGAGCATTCAAGGCTGATATGTTAATACTATGTATGAAACTAGAATCTCTAGCACAAACCTCGGCCATGAGACGTTTAATAAAAATCTCTCCAGATCCTGACATAATCACATTTAAAGGAACAATATGTAAAAATCTGGCCAAAAGTGGTACTGCAGTCACAGTCAATATTTTGTAGTCCTCTCCCACTCTCCCTGACTCAGGTTGCCAGATTCACACCAAATCCAGCAGCAAACACAGGGAATTATTTTATCAGTTGTTTGTCCGTCTGCATTCACATTGCCATGACAGCCGTGCTAATGCTGAATGAATGTTTTGATTCATGTTTTTTTATTATTATTATTTGGACATTTGAGATAAAAAACAAAAACAAAATAAAAGCAATGTAATTATACATAGTTTATGCAAAATACATAAGCAATTGATGTCCAAAATAGGAGTGGGAAGAATGGATGTTGGAACGTATTTCTTCAGCGTATCAACATCAGGGTTTGCTCAAGAGGATATCACCTTTCAATTTTATTTATTCCCTATTTTTTAGACAAACATGTAAAAGTCCCACATCAAAAAGAGACTAACATTATTTTAATTGGGGTACATGTGGTCTTAAATGATTATTTTTACAATTAAGCTATAATCTGCAAAAAAACGTCTTGACCTTCGTCTTTTACCGTTTTTAGAGCAATCTGTCATAGAATGTGATAACATGCAATAAACACAAAAAGACATAGCCCGGATTCGAACCCGGGACTCCTGCATCGTAAGCGCACAGTGTAGACCACTAGACCACCGATTCACACAGAGTCACTGTGAAGAACGGACTCAAACTAGCAAATTCTGCATCACACGTAAACTTTTATCAGCTGTCTCAAATGTTCAAAGGCATCCCGATATAAATCCTCGTTTTAGTCTTTGTTTTGTCATTAATGATTTGAGAGTCATAACAAGACCTTTTTTAGTTCTGCGCCACATGTTATTTTACCTCTGAGATTAGTGAGCCGCACGGAGTTCTGGCAACCCGATCACGGACTTACATGACACTTCCTGATTGGCGAAACGGCGGAGGGTAGGACATCAAAATCAAAACAATAACAACTTTTAAAACTAATTTTGATATTCAAATATCTCGGATGAACTACTGTTATCAGTTAAAGATGTGTTTGAAAAGAACATGATTTATTAATGCCTTTTGAAATATTCGGGTCATTTAATGATGACTTGACATGCAAATATTACATATTGCTCCTTTAACGTTTTTTTTTATTTATGTACTGTTACAAACCAACAGGCAGACAGTTAAAACGTGGTGATTGAATTGCCCCCTGGTAGATGTGATAATTGATACAAAAATAAAGTACATTTGTATGCCATATTATTGAAAGACCAAGTCTATGCCATAGAGCGGCTATCCTCCTGTGGACTCACCACCTGCAGGAGGGTCAGTGAGGGGCTAGTGCTATGTGACTTGGCTGGTATCTCTGACTGCAGACCCCCGACCCAGAAATGGATTATAAGGGGTAGAAAAGGGATGGAATGGATGGATGGATGTATGCCAGATTTTAAATAAAAATGATCAATTTTAAAGTCTGTTCGAATGCATATAATTATGAATATAAATATTTATATGTTCAAATTGTTGCAAAAATGTTCCCCAAGGCCAAAGAATGTCCCAATGAATTTGATGAAATCGATTCTTTTTTTATAATGTTGAAAAATATGTTGAAGAATAATTGAAAGTTTTACATTTACAGGCACGTTTTAGCAGGATTATCATAATCTATGGACATTATCGTTAAGAATGTCTTGTTTTTTTTTTTAAATCACCCTTTCTATGTACTAGTAGTACATTTTCATAGTCGAGTGAGTATAGTATAACTGCTTGTGTAAATCTAATCTCTTTTTATCCATATCAACAGGGGTTGTTTTGAAATTAGGTCAACCAGCTTTAATTTGGGATAAGCTGTGGTGGATGTAAGCAGTTGAGATTTATGCGCAATTGGTCGCAGTGGAATAAAATACCAAATGCAAATATATGCTACGATGTGTATTTTATGAATGCATGTATTTATTATCAGGTTTTTGTATTTATCTGCTTCTTCTAATGTGTAGTACTTAATCTGACATACGTTCAGATATGAGAATCTGAACCAAAGCATAAAATATCCATCCATCCAGCTTCTTTTCCTTAATCCATTTCTGGGTCGGGGGGCGGCAGTCAGAGCTGCACTTCCCACCAGCACCAGCCCCTCACTGATCCTCCTGCAGGTGGTGAGTCCACAGGAAGATGGCTGCACTGTCAAGAGAGCATAGCCTTGATCTTTCAGTGGGGGGCTTCAGGCAAAGTGGGGTTAGATGTCATGCCCAAGGACACAAAGACAGCAGACATCAATGGGAGTCGGTGGAGAAGGTCTCGTGGTAGGCTCAAACCCACAACTTTCAGGCTTAAAGGCCAATGCTCTACCAACTGAGCCACTGTTGCCCCACTAGTATAAAATATGTTGGCGCTTGATTCATATCCAGTTACACACCAGTAGTTAGCCAGAAATACACTCTTAATGAACCTCAACTATTGACAAATCACCTGCTCCACGCCATTCTCTGCAGCCCCTGCTTTTCTGGCTGCTGTACACTGCCCGCCCATCCATAAATCACAAAAACACTGCCCTGGAACATTGGAAAGGAAATGAGAACAAAAAGCCTGTGGTCTCTCGAGTATTCATCTGTGGGATGTTTCTAAACACAAATGCTTCCCATCTGCAGTGCTAAAGTGATGACATGTGAGTCTATTGGAGGGTTAAGCGCTACATGCCCTCATAGTGTATGTAGTCTTTATATTATATTTTTTGAACCAAGTGCAATCATAGCGTCAGAGTTTATTTTATTGTATTCTTTTTTACCATCTTATTATTTCTATTTCATTGTTATTATTTTAATTGTCTATTGTCTTATCTTAAATAATAAACTGTTTGATGGGTGCAATCTGAGTACTCATATTTCCTTCTTTCTCTGCTTTAATGTGCGCAATGATGACACTGAAATTTCCCACTGTGGGACGAATAAAAGAATATCAGATCTGATCTTATCTAAAAGTTCAACTGTGTTGTGATGACAAAATAATGTATATTACATTGATATAATAGTCATTGAATATAGTAATGACTAGAATGTATTTACACCTTTGAATAGGGCTGGGTAATATCTTATTGTATATATTGAAATACTATATAATTGCTGTATACTGCTGTAATTGTCCTTACTGGGATATAATTATCATATAATTTGCATGTTCAGTGCAGCTGGCATTTTACTGAACGTGGGGGGAAGTCAGAGGAAGAGCTCAGCTAAATGGTACTGCTAATAATGAACAGCTTAAACATGGACAGATAATGATTTTGTAACATGTATATCATAAATCGTTTTTGGTCTCAGTATTGAATTTTGTGTGTTATGTACACTGGGAAGGCTTCGACATGTACTCTGTGATATGTACATGATACGTGGGAGTATCATGTTTTTACTGCAAGTATTTGTACTATAAAGGGGTTCACAGTGGAACCAGCCTCCATCCATCCATCAAATTTCTTCCCCTTAATACATTTCTGGGTCGGGGAGGTGTCAGTCAGAGCTGCACCCAGTACACAGAGCACCAGCCCCTCACGGATCCTCCTGCAGGTGGTGAGATCTTTCAGCAGGGGCTTAAGGCAAAGTGGGGTTAAGTGTCTTGCCCAAGGACACAACGACAGCAGACATCAGTGGGAGTCATGAAGTCTTATGGGCTCAAACCCACGCCCTTCAGGCTCAAAGGCCAATGCTCTACCATCTGAGCCACTGTCGCCCCTTGGAACCAGAAAAAAAGCACAATTTGACGAGAGTCATGAAGAATATGTTACATTAACTGTAATGTGACCGTAATGTGTTATTTGCATGTGTGTCATCGCCCCCCCACCACCACCAACCATTCACGCTCACACCGGACTCATTCTTGGCAATGTGGGTGAAGTGTCTTGCCTAAAACACAACAGTTTGGCACTTTATAGCCACAACCGCCAGGTGCAGCCTCATTTTGGCTGTTCCCAGAGGTCTTAGCTTCTTATCTTGCGAGATCTGATGGGGCCTGGGTTTCACATGTAGATATGGACCTAATAGTAGATCCATATCTGCATGTGAAACCCATTGTTACATTTTCAGTGTGAAAAGCATGTTATAAATGTAATTTGAATGATTGATTGAACTTGTATCATTGATCATATGTACATTTTTCCTATAAGTTTCAAATACTCCAATACAAAATTACCTCATAAACAAGCACAAAT